GTTTCAGTAGGCATTTGTAAGATAGTTTCTTTTACATGGCCTGACAACCAAAGCGATCCACCACACGAGTACTATTCTATTGTTGGGGTTACCTTGAAGTATCTTTGCATTGCATTGAGTGAAAAATTCACTAACCTTCACCAACTAAACCAACGTGACTACAGGCAAAAAGAATTCCACATATTACTTGACTTGTAGTCTTAGCAGCTGCCACATATTCTGCTTCTATTGTTGATTGTACAACTTTACTTGCTTATTCAAAGCCCACGAGATTATTCTTGATCCTAGTGAAAAGGAATAACCAAATATGTTCTTCGTGTCATCGATCGATCCTACTCAGTCACTGTCGGTGTAGCCAAGTAGCTTTGAGTTGCTCATAGTTTGGTACCATATACCATACTCCATTGTGTCTTGTAGATATCTTAGGATTCTTTTTGTTGTTCTGAAGTGAATTTGGCTTGGACTTTGCATGAATCTTGAAAAAATACTTGCAATATACATTATGTGTGGTTATGAGATATAGTAAGCTCTCAATCAAACTTTTATAACGTAATGCATGAGCTTTTGGTGCTCTATCATTTTTTTTCAAATTCTCATTTGTAACTAATGGAGTGCCAACAGTCATACATCCATTTATCTTAAATTTTTTAAGTAGCACTTCAATATATTTCTTTTGTGAGATAAATATTCCCTCTTTCTTTTGTTTTACCTCTATTTCAAGGAAGTAGTTCATCAAGCCAAGGTCAGTCATTTCAAAGGTCTTCATCATATCTTTTTTGAACTTAGCTATCATTTCAACATTGTTCTCTGTGCAGATAATAGCATTTACATACAAGGAGACTATGAGTATGTCATACTAAGCTTGGATCTTAGTGTATAAAATTACCTCTCTTTTGCTCCTCCTGAATCCTTGATCTGTAAAGTATTGATCGATTTTGTTGTACCATACTCGTGGAGCTTGCTTCAATCCATATAGGGCTTTTTCAGTCTAAGTATTTTGCCTTCATTACCTTTGTTGACGAAACCTTGTGGTTGCTCCATATAAATCTCTTCTTGAAGAATGTCATTGAGAAAGGCAAATTTTACATCAAGTTGATAAATTGTGCAGTAAGAGTAATTAGAGTTCTTATAGTATCTAGGCGAGCAACTAGAGCAAATATTTCATTTTAATCAACTTCAAGTTGTTGTAAGTATCATTTAGCTACTAGTCTTGCCTTATACTTTTGTATGGTGCCATCGAGATTAAGCTTGGTCTTATAGACTCATTTTACCCTAATGATATCTTTATCTATAGGGCAATCTACTAGCGCCCATGTGTTATTTTTTTCAATCATTTTTATCTCTTCTTCCATTGCCTTGACTCATACTTCTTGTTTTGATGCTGCTTCAAAACTCTCAGATTTAGTTATGGCCAGGTTACAGATCTCATATATATCCACTAAAGATTTAACTCATCTTGGAGTAGACTCTGGTGAGGAAATTTGTTGTTGTAGAGATAAAAATCTCTCAACTAAGACTTCTTCAATTTCTTAAGGTTGCGACATTGGTATAGAAATATTTTTCTAAATCTTTTTATCTTTCCAATTCCAAGTAGCATTTTCATCAACTTCAATATCTCGACTAATGGTGAGCTTTTTGATTTGCAAGTTGTAGACTCGATATCCTTTTGACTGTGTGCTATACCCCAAGAAGATACTTTGTACAGTTTTGCCTTCTAGTTTGTGTTTCTTCTCTTCTAGAATGTGTATGTAGCAAATTGATCCAAAAAACCTTAGATATTTTGTTGATGGTTTTTTCCCACTCCAAGCTTCAATTGGGGTTTTATTTTAGACAGCTTTAGTTAGGCATCCATTAAGTATGTAGACAGCAGTATAAGCTGCTTTAACCTAGAAGATATTTAGTAATTATATCTCCTTCAGCATAAATCTAGCCATCTCCATTACTGTGAGATTTTTCTTCTCAGTTACTCTATTTTATTGTGGAGTATATGCGACAGTAAGTTGTCATTGAATGCCTTCATCCTCACAGAATTTATTAAACTCTTGAGAGGTATACACTTTGCCACGATCACTTCTTAATACTTTTACCTGCTTACCACTTTGTTTCTCGACAAGGGCCTTAAACTTTTTGAACATTCCATAGACTTCTGATTTTGCTTTGATGAAGTAGACCCAAGTTATTTTAGAAAATCATCGATGAAAAGGATAAAATACCTATTATTATGAAGTGATGGTGTCGACATTGGTCTGCAAATATTTATATGAACAAGCTTTAATAAGTCTTTTTCTCCCCAAGCTTTCTTAATAGAAAACGGTAGTTGATGTTGCTTGCCAAAGAGACATCATTCATAAGCTTCATTATTTTCTTCAAGATATGGGAGATCCTTCATCATATTCTTTTGAAATAACAATTTTAAGACATAAGTATTCAAGTGGCCAAATCTTCGATTCCAAAGTCGTGAAGTATCAACTTCTGCTTTCATAACAATGTTAGCGCCTTGTTGAAAGCTTATTGGAAAACTTTTGTTTCTTTTCTCCATCTTTAATTGGTCAATATCTTACTTTTTTACTGTCATATATCTTACATGTGTCCCCTTTGAAGTAGAGAGAATAACCTTTCTCCATCATTTGGCCAACACTTAAGAGATTTTCCTTGAGGTTGGGAGCTAGTAAAACATCAGTAATAAGTTTCATAACTCTTTATCTCAACTATAATGGTGCCTTTGCCTTTTGACTCAACGATAATACTGCTCCTTATTTGAACTTTCTTTTTGATGGATTCATTGATATACTTAAAGATATTTATATCCTTGGCCATGTGATTGTTACAACCGCTATCCAAGTACCAATTTTCACTCGTTTCAGTGTTGGTATCTTGGGTAGCATAGAAAAGATGTGATTATCGATCATACTCTTCAACAAAATTTGCTTGATATTTATTTTTGTTGCAACAATAGTTTTTCATGTGTCCAAATTTATTGCAATGTTGACATTGTGATTTTCCACAATATCGACATTCTTCTTCAGTATGATTTGTCCTTTTACAGATGTCGTATGAAAGATATTTATCTTGATTATTTCTATAGAAATTTCTAGAATTCTCTTTGTTTATCCATTTTTTTTCTTCATTCATTCCCTTTATTCTAAGATTGTAATTTGAGCTTTTATCAAAAGACATTTTCAATTGAGTCCTTATCACGCCTTTTCAACCTTTGCTCATAAGCTTCAAGAGACCCTGCCAACTATGTCATTGATAGAGTAGATAGATCCTTTATTTGCTCAATAGTAGTCACAATTGGATCATATTTACGGGGAACTTTGATTAATAATTTTTCAACAACTTTTTTGTCAATAATATTTTTTCCGTAAACTCTCATTTGGTTAACTATTTCTTTTATTTTGGAATAATAGTCTTTTATAGTCTCAAACTCTTTCATTTTTAGTAATTCAAACTCTCACTATATAGTTTAGAATTTTATAGCATGTACCTTTTTGCTTCCTTTAAACTCCTTTTGCAGCACAGTCATGCTTCTTTGGCTGTTGTAACATCCATTATTCTTGAAAAAATTGCGTCAGTCACAGCTTGTTATAAAGTAAACAAAGCCTTCAAATTCTTTTGTTTATTTTCTTTTAGTTCTTTTTTTTGAGCTGCAATAAAAGATGATATATTTGTTAAAGTAGTGAATCCTTCTTCCACAACATCCTACAAATCTTGGAAGGTGAAATATATCTTCATTTTTATGCTACAAAATTCATAATTTTCACCATTAAAAATGGAAACAAGAGATGATGGTTAAGTAGTGCTAGTCATGGGTTAAAATTTTTTTGGAAGTGGTTTATTTTAATTTCAGAATAGTATGGTAATATTTCTATGCTCAGTAAATGATCGAATATAGCTCTGATGTCACTGATAGTTTTTAGTGTAGGTGAGATGAGTAAAATAGTTGAAATATGTTAGTGAAAATAGTTGAAAATGATAGTTGAAGAAGTTTGATTAAGACACTCAAGAGATAGAGAATTGATAGTTTATTTACTTCTTAACATTTACAATGTGATAGAATGCCTATTTATAGGCATGCTCCACCATTATGTTTGGGTGGTTCAATATTTTAGAATTATCTCTAGAAGTATTATGAAACTAAAAGATTTACAATATTCTAAAACTATCTCTAAAAGTATTTTAAAACTAAAAGATTCAAATAGTTTTTTCTAAATTGTTCTTAGTATTTTATTTTTAAACTATTCTAAAAATTTGTATCAATTTCTAATAGAAAAAATGTAGAACATTGAACATTAGCCAAACGGCCACATTTGAAATAGAAAATCTACAAGAACAGTGCTAGTAATATAGACATTTGCTTGGAATGCTGTTTTGAAATAAAGTGTGTTGTGTGTCGGCCGCCTATATATATTTTTTGTTATTAAAATAATAAGTGTACACTCTTTTTTTATTATTAAAAAAATAAATATAGATCATATAAAGAATGATATTCTCTTTTTTATTATTAAAAAAATATCAATTTTTTCATAAATGACATTTGTAGTGACGTGACAAAAAATATTTTAGATTGAAAAATATTTTGTATATATTTTATTTGGATAATTTTTTTTTATTTCTACCTTATTTATGACAAAAAAAAAAAACCTGTCATGGGTTGTATTCTATAAAATATAATTTATATTTTAAATATTGATATCTTGATTAATAATATAATTTGATATATGAGAACGGAGTATTCGGCACAAGGATCCATTTCATCCGACTTAATTATGAAACATTAATACTTTAATAAAACATAAATGAAGGCAAAAAACATGGCACAACCTTTATTGATAATAACCGAAGGATTAAACACAAGGGATTTTGTAAACAGTTTTGGGCATGGGAGATGGGAGTGCATAATCGTTGAGTCGTTGCAGTCGCTAGCATAAATATTAATGTTCAAATACAACCACCAAATTATACACCATACATCATATATCTTCTACTTCTAAGTATTACTATAATTTCTTATCAGACTTTCCCAGATTACGAATTTGCTTCTGTTTAGATAGTCTTTTTGCATACCTGCAGCAAGACAGTTAAGTGTGAAACATTGTAATTAAATAAAATAGGATATCATCAGCATAACTTATTTATATTACTCTGTTTATAGCTTAAGTAAATTTAACGATAAATTATTTTTTTAATGATTTTATATTTTCTCAATATATATTTTTAGACTTGTATATAACTTAACACTTTTTTTTTAATAATTTTTACGATGACTTATAACTTAAAGACTACATTCTACACCCTACTATATATGAAATAATTATAATTATTAATTTTATATTTTATAAATAATAAAATTAATAGTTTATTTAAAAATATAAATATTTTTTATTTTTTAAAATGTTACAAGAATCATAAACATTAATTTTTTTTTTAAAAAAAATACAATACACTCTCAAATTTTCGGATAATTTCCTTGATTCTAGTTAACCACGTTATAGCATTTTTAAAAAGCTTACCAATACTTTGTAAAAGAAATTGTAATATATAAAATGCTGACATTAAGTTCTGTTTAATAAGTTGAAATAATATAAAATAGTCTATTTGAAAATACATTGTATAAATAACACTTAATTAAGTGAAAAAGATTGAATTAGTTAGGAAGGATTTCTATCGTTTATATGGTTATAGATTTAAATCATATTTTTAATATGTAAATATTTATTTTAGTTTCTCAAATTATAAATGTTAATCATTTCAGGTAATAATTTCATAAAAATATCATTTTAGTACTTATTTTCGTTTAAAAAATTACTTGTTTTAGTTTTATTTATTTATTATTATTTTATATTAAAAATAATAAAATAAAAGTCATATTTTAAAGTGAGATTTTTTAAATTAAAAATTAAAGTGATTGATAGTTACAATTTGAAATCTAGAATAGATATTTATACTCAATTATTAATATTATAAATACCATATAGTTTTGTATCTATAAAAAATATTAGTTAAAACATCCGTATCATATGTTCTAATTTTTGTATGGACTTCAATACCTCTTCAGGGCTTCCTCGTTTGTTTCATAATAATGGGTTGCAGGTTCGTAAATGCCAGTCTTCAAGTTAACCTTCGAAACTGGTTTCTTTAACAATGATTGCCCAACTTTCACGAGATCTTTCAAATTCTTCTCGGTGGCCACATCTACCGAAGATAAGTCCCCAGTTAATGTGTCGTCCTACATTTTCGAATAAACAATTAAATTAGATAAAACTAATATCATCTAGAATAAAGTTAAGATAACAATTAACACCATTTATATAGTCCATAATGATTATTAACGTGAACCTGGATTCGCAGGTAATTGTTTTCGGAATTGTGTGTTCCGAAAACGGAGGCAAGCTGAAAGTCAACCATGTCAGCACTTGCTTGCATAAAAGCATCAATCAAAGGGGTGCAACCATTCATTGTGGCTACCCAACTCAAAATGCCCCATTGAGCTGCTTCATCTGCAGTGTATCTCACTTCCTGTTTTTGAGCTCCTGTTCCCAACGATATCACCAAAAACTGGTCATATTGTATTGGTTCTACATTTATTTTTGCGCTTGGTCCATCATGATTAATTTGGTTTGTCACTTCCCCTATGGCAACCATGGTCTGCAAGGCCAAAGAGATCACATCTGTATCTGTAATTTATTAATTAATTCGCTAGCTAATGAATTATAGTTTTAAGTGTTGACATTATTAAAGCCATGCAAACTAATTGAGATGTTTTGTTTATATGTTTTAAGATTAATTCTGAACATTTAAAAGTGATATTATTAGAAAATATTTATTGTGCAAAAATTATGGAAACATAATAAATAATTCTTTCTCAAAAAAAGATCACTTTCAGAAAATTTTCTTAGTTAAATATTTTTCTATTTCATACTTCAAATATGCAAGTAAAAGGAACATTAAGTACATTCTTTTAAGTATTTCTCAATAACTGATTTTTGTGTTTCCATCATAATAACTGATTTTTTTTGCTAAAGCTATATATATCTCTCCAACAGGTTAATTAATTACAGCAAATATGTGTGTGACGTGTACAAGTAAAGTTTCTGCAGAGATATTGGCACGTACTGGGTTATTTGCCGCGACCCCTCCATCCACAAGATCGAATTTGCCTATGACTTTTCCAGTGTGATCTTTGGTTTCAAAGTAATGAGGTGGAAGATATGTTGGAGCTGCCGAAGTTGCAATGCATATGTCCGATAGCGAGGCATTCAAATCTGGCCTTTTCTTCAGCTGTGATCTCTCATTTGAAAAACAACTAAATGTAATGTATATATATTATACAGAATACATAATATTGATTTTTTCTCATAACATATTAATAAATAATGATTTTTCTACGATATGTGTAAAAATATATAATAAAAATCAACGAATAATAATTTTGTATATATTAAAAATTTTAATATACAGATTATTATAGTTTATACCTGAATTCACGTTAAAAACCCCGATTAATAATTTAGGAGATCTAGAGAGATGGACCTGGAAAGTGGAAAAGATGGTTGGTTGAAGGCATTTGATGTTAAATGCTGGGATGACAACGTTGGTCAGTGTTTGGTGTAATTTTGTGTCTCCTAGTCTTTCCTTTAGAAGTCTATGCAAATACTTGCCATTATACCGGGGTCCTAATAGAGCTTTGCTGAGCTTCACGATATGTAAGAATAAATTGCAGCATCTAGAAGGGTAACATTATATTGTAAATTAATACTACACCGTTAGTAGATAAATAGAATGATATTGAGAGAGATGTGAGTGTGTGTGTAAACACGTATTTACTTATTTTGTGGGAATATTTTTGAGCCATGCTTAAGGTAGAAATCTTTGATTTCACTGGCTGCAAATAATGGTCGGTTATGCTCATTTGGGGCAGTGAGCATTGCAGCCACTAATCCCCCAGTACTTGTTCCCGCAATCACGTCAAAGTAATCTGCCAATCTTACATGATCACCATCCAACTTCTGCATACACCATGAGTTGACCATATATTTTAAAGGTTTTTTAAAGCTAGACTTCCAATTAGTTGGTGTATTAGTATTGTTGCTATTAGACTATAACTTTTCCTTTTTACTTGTCAATCAAATTAACCATTCATTCAAGTAATGCAATACAGCGTGATTATATTAGGACTAATATTAAAATGATTAAGAAATCAATAAATTTCTAAAAAAGAAATTATAGGAGAAAAAATTAATATAAAAATATTTTTTTGATAATTTGAAAACAACTTATATTTTTCTATTTTTAAAAATTTTTTAGAAACTTTCTCATTTAACTTATATAAACCTTGAATATATAAGTTATTTTTAATTTATAAAAAATATTTCATTATTTTTTAACTCTCCCATAATGCTGATGTTTAAGAATTTCACACGAACTTTAACTCTTACCTGAAGCTCTGTTTCAAGGAAATCTAGTATGATTCCTGGTATGATGCCCCTAATGCCGCCCCCATCAATGCTGAGAACGGTAACTAGGCGTTCATCATCGATTGTTCTTGAAGGTACGAATGCTTCCGTTGTTGCTTCCATCGTGTGATTTGTGGCTACGAGAGATCGAGAAAGGAATGTAACTACTCTAAATATAGCAACATTCTTTAAACCTTCATTCAACAACGTTAATTATTCTGATATTAAGAAATGTCAAGTTTTCGTATGTTAATTTGATGGAGCTCTTGGGGCTATATATAGAGCGAGATCGACCCACAGAATAAATAAATCATTCTGCATTGCTTAATTTTAGCGTGCTAGGTTTAATTTTCAGATACACATTGGAAATATTATTTTCATTTAATTAGTAGATTCTATAGATCGGTATTGGACGAGAATGATCAATGCACCTGCAAGAGGAGATGTGTATTGGAGACGAAATCACTATTATATTGAACCCTATATATTAGGTAAAACAGTAGTTTTTAAAAATGTCCCTTGTTGTCTTCAACCATACAAGTAAGTTAAATTAAAAATTCCCATAATCAAAATAAATAAATACGTATTGAAGCCCTTTATATTTACTTGTTAATCCTGTTTTCTTAATTGAAAGCTTAATTTGATCTAAATTTAATTGTCTTAACATTAGAGTATTTTTTTTTATTACTGTTAAAATTTATTTATGAAATGGTATAATCTATTTTTTTAATTAATATATCTTGATGTTATACACTCAACTGATTAACTAAATTTGCAGTCAAAGAACATTCATTGAGTTTAACATGAATTTCACTCATCTGCATTATACTCACAAGTCTAGACTTACATTCGATTTAAATATAACTCTAAGCACTAACTGTTACCTCTATATGTATCTCTTCAACTTTGATATTTTTGACACACTATTAACTTTATTAGATATGTGATGCATATTGTAGAAGGCATTAAACATACTTCGATTAAGAAAACGCTTATAATATCACGGACAAATTTACTTTTTGACTAATTAACCTTTATTATTCTTAGTATATTATCTCCTTTTCATTGTCCCATGCGTGATATTTCGTCAGCACATCCTCGTTGTCTTCCCATTCCTTCAAAGTTTTAACACATAATCACGCAAGCTATATGTGCAAACTATCACCATCCCAACTCTAAGGAGATGCAAATACATCTTTAAGGAGGTGATTGAATAAAATAAAATCTTATATTTTATATACTATAAGTTTAAGTGAATATAATTTTTTCATACGTATTTTTAAAATACAACGACATTTATTTAAACGACATTTATATATTTTTTTGTTCAAAAGAGTTACAAACATTAAACAGGTAACAAAATATCAAGTAAATTTTTTGAAGCAAATTAAACTTCTTGTTTTCTTTAAAGGAAAGACACGATTTTACGGAACTAAGTACAAACAAGTGAAAAATTAAAACTAAAAAAACTCAAATTTTAAAAATGTCCCATATATATAGAGAGAGTAACGCCAACGTTATCCCATATTTATAAGATAAGCGCATCAATGATTACCTCATCCCAATTATACGTGAGCCATATCTCTCTAAACTATAATTTTAGTATTATAGCTAATCAAAGTGGTAAAAGTAAAACACTATTTTTTTTTCTAATTTTAAAAACACGTGAGAATTTTTTTAAAAGACTAAAAAATGTAAGGTCAGCTACGCAACTTTAAAAACTTATATATATACACACACAATGTCAATAATGAACCTTATGGTAGAATAAAGATGGTTGTTACAATCACATTAAATAATTATCTACTAGTTTTCTTGTATGTTGTGAGGAAGAGTACATTAAACGAATGTAGAACGGTAATTGGTATGTCATTTTCAGTTTTTATTTGAGTTATCGAAGTAATTAATTAATTAATTCCTTAATTCACCTTCCAGACCTATAATAATATTATTATATTTAAGCACAAGGAGGGTCTGAGTTGATGATAGCTACATGCATTAGAATACCCTTCTGGTTGACAGCTTTCATCTCAAGGCACTACGAATAGAATTAATTGGGAGGTTTATGCCAATATCCTCGATAAAAGGGTAATGAATCCTGCATGTTCTTAATGAATCCGAGTTCTATAGTTATATAATTGTTTCTTATTTTTTTAAGTTATAAGTGTAAACATATAATTACTAAAAATTAAATTATCAAATTATTTTTTTAAAAATATAAGTTGTCAATACATTAGGTTTTTTTTAATATTTTTTTATAATTCAGTGAAGCTTTTATTTGATATTAATAAGAATTGGATGATGATAAAGATAATTTTTTATATAATTTTTCTTAAATTATTACCAGTGTTACACATTTCAACAAAGAAAGACACCCAAATAAATAAATGATTAACTTGCATTCAAAATTTTCAATTATAAATTTGAAATTTACACTATTAATTTCAACAGCATAATAAAGACTTTTGTTGGGTTTAACTTATCTGTCACTTAATCTTTTATCTTTTCTAACAAAAAAACATTGTAAAGAAAAAGAAAGAATATAAAGTAAAAAAATGTTAAGATATAATAATAAATTTAATTTTATAAAAATATATCGTTAATGACTTATAAATAATTTAATACACATGTTCAAATTTTTATTAATTTATATAATAAATATATTTAAACCCTTTAAATTTTATAGGCACAATAGCAATCACCCGTTTTTTTTTTTAAATAAAATTTAGGATTTTTTTATATTTTAACATTAGGACAAATAACAACTCTCTCTCTCTCTCTCTCTCTCTCTCTCTATATATATATATATATATATATATATATAAACTTATAATACAATATATTTACACTATTTTTATCAAGGAAGAAAAACATTATACGTCCAATATTTCATTAATGACTTGATTATCTTTCTCTACAAAGTGATTTTAAAGATCAAGCTAATTTTATCTAAAAATCTGCGCCCTCTTGACACTAGGCAGGGTGGGACTGAGTCGAAAGTAACTCTTCTCTCAAGATGACAAGATCATCTATGGTCATCATAGGTGACGCTAAACAAGTACAAGAAGAACCCAAAACTTGGTCCACTATATTTATATTTTTTAAGATTCTTAGTCTCGTTTGTTTATTGTTTTATAAGCGTATTGGTTCATCCCCACGTGAATCTCGATTGGGTTTTCACAATGAAGAAGCAAAGGTCACAAATCATATAAGAAAAAATAATTAATCATGATGTCAATCAATTAAAATAAATCACTGATATAGTTTTTTTATTAACTATTACAGAAATAAAAAAATTAATTGACATAATAATTCATAATTAAAAAATAGTTTAAAAATGTTATACTATCATTTTATTTAAATTAAATATTTAAAATACATTATAGCATGTAATAATAAAAGTATATTATGGTATAAAAATGATAATTTTATTTTTATTTATTTTTATACTAATAATTTAATTTTAAAAAATATTATAACCACGACATAATGATAGAGATAAACAAAAAAGAGTAATTGAGAATTTCATGCTGAGAAAAACATGTGCTGTTGATTTTTTAAAATTATAAATGATTATTTTATAAAAATATTTTTATTTGAATCAAGAATATTCGTGATATATAATTTTTGGTAAGTAAAATATTAGTAAAATTATATGTATTTTTTAATATAGGAATTTTTAATTTAACTTGTAATATTTATTTGTTCAAAATTTAACTTATAATATAAATGAGAGTCTCATTCATGCTAGTTGGTGGTTTGGGCTATGGTTGACTAAAGCCCAAGCCCAAGATGTGTGTCTCTTCCTTTTCGGCCGAAAATGTTCCGTGGCATATTCGTGCAAGAAAGTTCCTGATATAGAGAGTGAATATTGTCCATCTACCTTAACCTCCAAAAGCGAGATATGCTCCCGCCATATCGCCCGAACTTCTGAAAACATCATCCTCAAAGCAAAAGGAGAAGAAGAGACTCAAGTCAATAAAACAACCTTCCTAATCCAAAAGCCATTAACTCACACCACATTTCAATAAAATCAAAACGAATCACGACAATGCATCGAATCTGTTTTAGAATCCGACCCCTTCTTCGCTTCCCTCGTCATCGCAACATTTCTTCTTCTTCTTCGAGAAAACCAATCAATTCAACAAACACCAATGTACAAGATTCCACAAATGCCCTTCCCTCTATCCCTGACCATAGCCGCACTCTCTCTCCTATTTCTTCTCAATCTCTCTCCCGCACTTCCGTCATCGCTCTCTCCGCCGCCGTCGTGTCCGCTGTCTTCGCCTCCGTCGCGCTTCTCTCCTCCGATCATGACGAATCCGATGGTGGCGTAGCCACTAATCCTCTCTATGCTGGCGCGGAGCTCGCCGTGCACAAGGCCGGCGACTCCCTCAACCGGATTTTTCACCACGCCAAGCGCACTGGCGTCGCTGCCTCTGTCCTCTGGCAGTCGCTTCACTCGGTACTGTCCTCCGCCAACCACGAGGTCCGCTCCGGCTTCGAGATTCGCGTTGCGGCCTTGCTCGCCGACATCGCCGCCGCGAATTCTGGACGCAGGGCCGCGATCGTCGGTGCCGGCGGCGGAGCCGTTGTGGATTGGTTGCTGGAGTCGGTGGCGGTGGCGAAGAACGGCGGCGGCGGAACTCAGGCGGAGTCGGCGAGAGCGCTGGCGTATTTGATTGCGGACCCTAACGTGTCTGCTGCTGTGCTTGGGCGACCTCATGCTGTTCCGAATCTTCTGAGGTTCATTTTTTCTTGCCAGCCTCGTCGTTCTAAGAACAAGAAGGTAACTGATTCTCTATCATGTTTTTCTGTGTGAATAGTTTGTTATAATATATTTTGCTAAGCTTCCAAGGGACCTAGTTTAAGATTGGCATTGGCAAACTGAGCAATCAATTGGTCTTTACCCGAAGTTTGTCACTAGATTCCAGCTTCTTGTCTTAATAAATAGAGTTTTATCTTTTAGGTTTAAATAAAATTTTGGTCTTATACTCAAGTCACATTTGTAAGTTTATCCTTATTTTTTTTTACATGCACATTTATTCTCGATTAGTATCTGTTTGTTGCTTTTCAACTAAACTATGTTAAAAAAACTTTCCAAGTGATTAATGGATGCTACAACCAACGGAATTTCAATTCCAACATTGAGTGTTTTAATTAAAAAAATGGAAACAAATGACGACGTGAATGAGTAGGGTTTTCTAAAATCCCTAAGTTTTCAAATTCGGCAAGGAAACAATAAAAAGAGGAACCAAATTCAGGCACATCAATGTTGAAATAAAACAAAAACACACACAATAGGAGGGAGTTCGAATTGGAACAAAGATTTGAGATTGCGAAAATTAGAGTGTGATTTCTCCCTCCTTCAACATGCCTCACGAGCAAACAAATACCTCAGCACCAACCTCCAAGAACCTCCACACCTTTGCTTCAAAACTTGCCTTTTTTCTGTTTCATTGGCTTGAAGATGGTCTTCATCTGGTACATATCAAGTGTAGCTAGCTCATATAAGGACAGAGCAAAGTTTGCTGGTTGTCCAAAGAAGGAACATGTTGCTTGCAACATGCCCATAAAAAACAAAGCTAGCATGCATTATAGGCATTGATACTACTATTTTCAACAACAATTTGATATTTTAGATAAGTATAGCACTCACCTCTAGTTTAGCAAGGTCTTGCGAATCCAAATTGCATGTTGTGAGCACATGAAGGCCAATGGAGGGATTAGCAGATAATGGAAACTCTCCTAGAGTGGAGTCCCCCAAAGCAATGGCATTGTTGCCTTTGAAATGTTGGAAGTGGGGTGGCAACAATGGTAGTAATTGGCTAGTTAGGGTTGTTATGATATTGGATAGTTGGAGTTCCATTGATTGTAGCATCCATGGACACTGCCATCCTTATGCAATGTCCAAACTTTGCAAATGAAAAGCCATCCATGGGTTCCGCTTGTTGAGGTATCCATTAGTCACGTGTCGTTTCGTTAGAAAGTAACAACAAGGACTAAATCGAGAATAAATATACATATAAAGGACTTATTTACAATTTTTTACATGTAGGAAATAACTTACGAATGTGAGTTAAGCAAGAATAAAGACTAAAATCATAGTTGTAAATCTCGGATAGCGGGTGTAACAGACGACCCTCAAAACGCTATTGCGGAATAGCACATAGCTGGATTGCTGCTATTTTAAAGTTTTTCATATAGATATGAAGTATATACATATGCAAATAATTATGTATATAATAATGCTAAACAAATATGATAAATAGCATAAAAGAACAGAGGTAGGACTCTAGAATCATAGAATAGAGAGAAGAAAGGAAGTGGCTTTTGCCAAAGAAGTCATCCTAAATGAGTGACTCTGCTGGATTGAAAATTGTTGCAAAGCAGAAACGAGATAGAGATGGGAGGAGAGAGCGTCGAATAGAGAAGGGGGAGAAGAAACACAGTGTAGAAAAGTGGGTTGTCGTCATGGGTCTCTAGTTGCAAAGTAGAAGAGCAACAGAGATGAGAGGAAGGGGTGTAGAAGAAAGGAAAAAAACCTAGGGAAAAGTGGGGTTAGGTTTGAAAATTGAGAAGACTATTTTGCCCTTAAAATAACCTAAAGATTGTGTCATCACAAGGGCAAAATGGGAAAATAAGCTTATTACTTAAATATTACAAGTGATCTTTATCTTGTTTTTTGGCTAAAATTGCAATGCATATACTTCATCTTACTTCTTCTCAAGAAAAAAACTTAGATTCTAAAATTTCTCTCAGTAACTCAAGTTTAGCATTGACATCTTCTTTTAAATTCTCAACTAACATTGTATTATCTATAACTTAGAGATAATCTTATGTATATCACTTGTAAGCACATTTAGAAATAGGTTAAACAAATAAGGGCTCAGAACAGAGTTTTGATGTAAGTTTATCCTTGTAGGAAAGTATAGTCCATATAGAAGTTCTCACATGTAGTTATCTCCCAGTACATGTCTTGTATAGTCCAAATATATTTTACATGAACTCCTTTCTTTTCTAAAGTCATCCATAACACTTCTCATGGTATGTATTTATATATTTTTTTCAAGTCAATAAAAATCATATGTATGTCCTTTTCTTTATAATAATTCTTTTCCACCAAATTGATTTTCTGCTGTCCTAGTTTTATTTTGTAGTCTATGGTCCGCCACTTTTTCTCATAACTTCATATTATGACTCATAAATTTAGTCCTTTTATAGTTTGCATAATTTTGTGTATCACCCTTGTTAGGGATCATAGTGTTTTTCTTTCAATCATTTGACATTTTTTAAATCTCAAAATTTTATTAAAGAGCTTAGAACGTCACTCAAGTCCTTGTTTTCCTTAACTTTTCCAAACTTTAATAAGGATATTATCAAAACCAACTGTTTTACCATTGTCCATCCTTTTAAAAGCTTTTTTTATATTTATTTCTTAAGGATATTTTGTTAGCTAAGTTATAATCGTAGAAGTTGTCTTTTGACCTATTTTTTATTTTTATGCACAGGGTGCCCATAATAAAGGTGTATAACTATCTTTTTTGTATTTAGCCACATCTCTGGCTTAGCATAACAAGGTTGTGTGTGTGCTCATTTTCTTACTATGGCCATTGTAGATCAATTTCTAAAATGCAAACCTCAGTAAGGTGTTGTCGATATTGGTCTTTTTTTTCTTCTGATTTTTACATTGGTGACATCATGCAACTTTCTTGTGGCAGAAGCATTCACGACGCAGTGCATTTGACATTTCTGATTCTTTGAAAGGCAGGAGCATGCTTGTGGCTGCCATTATGGATATTGTTACATCCAGCTGTGACAGTGCAGAAGTGGTATCTTTTAAGCCATCATTGCCTGGAAATGCTGAAACCAGAGACATTGCTGCTGCCCTACAAGTTATCGAGGAAGGGGGTTTGCACTTGGATGAGCCACCTGAAGGTGAAGATGATGATGGTGATGGGACAGGAGGTAAAGGGATTGGAATCAAGATACTTGAAGGCACCACTGTTTTAGGGCTTTCAAGAAACAGCTGTGTAATGGAGTCGGATAATTCTAATGCCTCTCATGAAGAATTGTTGAAACATCGTACTCCTCAAACTCTCAGATATCAAAATAAGTATGAAAAGTCACTGGCACAAGAAAATATGTCTTCTGCTGTTGTTCCTGGACTCTGGGATGATTTACACTGTGAACATGTTGCTGTTCCTTTTGCCACCTGGGCATTGGCAAATTGGGCCACCGCTTCACGGTTAAATCGATCTCATATACAGGAACTGGATCAAGATGGAAATGCTATAATGTCGGCTTTAATGGCACCTGAGAGAACTGTAAAATGGCATGCAAGTTTGGTGGTGCGGTTGCTATTAGAAGATCGCAGTACACCTTTGAATGAATCTGTTTCTGATTGGGGTTCCAATCTTCTTTCTACTATATCTCAAGCATGCAAGCATGAAGATTTTTCTTTGGCTCGGGTATCTTTCTCTGCTTTTCTCTTATCAGTTGAGAGGAGCCCTGGAGTGCAGAAGATAGTGATGGAGAAGGGTCTTAATTCAATGAGAGATATCGCCAAGCAGACCACAAAGGATAAGCAGGTGCAAGAATCAATGGCAAAGGCATTAGAACTACTTTGTACTGGAGACCTGCATCTGTCTCTTGAAGAGAGTCAAAAATGGTCAGGGATTCTTCTTCCTTGGGTTTTTGGAACATTTTCCTCTGATACTATACGATCTTCAGCCATAAAGATTCTTTCTCAGATCTTGGAAGACTACGGACCAACAACTGTTCCACTTTCGCAGGGATGGTTAGTCATGATGCTATCTGAAGTACAAAGTTCCATCAAGAAATCAAATGATAAGGGAACGGGTCAACCTAAGAGTGATAATGTAAAGGTATGGAAATATTGTTCTTTCTCTTTCTGTTAATATGACATTTCATTTTATCCGATAGTTCTACTTCAATTCCAAGTCCACTTTTGATCTACATTTTAGCTGTGTTGACTTTTGCAGACGTTAATCAATAATTCAAATATTGCTTCTGCTGCACAAGTAGCTACTCAACTATCTAGTGCTGTTGTTAATCTGGCAGCTAAACAAGTGAGGATTACATCAAATTCTGGGGATGCATCCCCTCTGGCAGATTTTCTTTCTCTGGAACCTTTTGCTGGACCATTTAAAAATTTAAAAAAAGATAGTATGCCTAAATTAGATGCTGCAGACTCTGCTTTTGCAACCCTTAAAGGAATTAAGGTTCTAACTGAAGTTTGTGCTGAAGACTGTGTGTGTCTGGACAAAATTGTTGATTTTGGGATTTTATGTTTGCTGAGGCGCTTTTTGTTGAGTGATGATTATGAAAAACTAGCTGCTATTGAAGCTTACAATGCATCATCTAAAGCACATGAGGGGCAGGAACGGATATCCAATGTAAATGGGGAGCCCCCTATATCAGATGTAAATGATTCAGCTAGTGTCCGGGTTCCACCCACTGCTCATATCCGTAGGCATGCAGCTCGGCTGTTGACCATACTCTCGCTGCTTCCCAAAGTCAAAAAGGTCATCATAGCTGATGAGACTTGGTGCCAATGGCTTGATGAATGTGCTAATGGGAGGATTCCAGGTTGCACTGACCTTAAAATGCAAAGCTATGCCAGGGCAGTGCTTTTAAATATATTTTGCAATGACCAGCTTAAAGGAAAGTCTGAAAGTGGAACTCCTTCTGATGGTGGTATAAAAAATTATAGGAACTCCTGTCCTCGCTATGATGACAGGATATTGTTGATAAATTCTCATCTTCCCCATTGGAAGTGTCCCAAAGAAACAGATCAACAAGATAACTCTAAGGACACAGCTGTGGCTACTTCTGCTGATACTGAGGATGGAACAGAATCCTTGAATGATGGCAACAGCTCTAATTCTATTGATTCAACTAAAAGCAGCCAAGATGCAAATTGTCCTCCACTAGATGTAGTTTTTGTCCATGGCCTTCGTGGCGGGCCTTTCAAAACTTGGCGTATAGCTGAGGACAAATCCTCAACTACTTCAACCTTGGTGGAAAAGATTGATGAGGAGGCAGGAAAGCTTGGAACCTTTTGGCCTGGTGAATGGCTTTCCAGCGATTTTCCTGAGGCTCGGTTGTTTACCATCAAATACAAGGTTTGCTTTAGATAGTTAGGACATGTTTCCCTTAGTAAGATGAGACATTTAGCTTATGAATTTTGCATTCTTTTTTCGCTGGTGGTTCTGACATCTTTTCTAGAGCTTGTCTTGTGGATGATTTACCTACAGCTCCATCTAACTCTTATTAAATGCTTTATGCAGACTAATCTTACACAGTGGTCTGGAGCTAGCCTGCCTCTTCAGGTTACAATTTTTCCTCACCTCATTATTCATTATCATTTACCAAGTAACAGCATCAGATTTTACTGCTCTACCATTAGCTTGGCTTGATAGTCATCTAGCAAGTTTCCAATACTTGAATGTGTGCAAACTGATATTGGCATCTTCGTCCTCTATGAACCTTGTTAAGGGTTATAAGAAATTACCATTTTTAGTGCCAGTCATTATGAATTTGCATTATTTTCTGCATCTTCTTCTATCTGCCCAAGGATAAATGATTTGTCATAAACATTAGCACTATTTTCAAAAACATAAATCTATACATCATTATCATACTACATATTTTTGTGGTTTTAAAATATCTTTTGGTCTCGTCCTTTTAACCTGTGCTTAAATGAATTTTTATTAAAGTGAGATTGATATTTGTGGATGAAGATTTAAATAGTTTTACTATGATTGAGTGGAGGACATGTGAGCAAGTTTCTTTCGTTCTGTGCAATTGGAAGCTGTTTGGTTTTAGAAACCATTTTCTTCTTTCATTTTTAAATACAAAAATGTTTTTTGTTTTCATTTTTTTCAAATATTTATATAGGATTCTAAGAAACAGTGAAAATGACAAAAAGTTTTCATTAATTTTTATATAAATATTTGAAAACAGAAAACAAAATGAAAATAAGTTAACATTTTTGTTATTAAACGTAAAAAAAAAAAATTATTTTCTCAACCCTAACAGCCCCTCAATTTGTTCTTTTTCATTATTTTGTTTTGCATATTACATGCATGCATTATGCATAACAAAGCTCTAGACACTTCTCTAATTTTCCGCAACCCTAATGAAGTTTTCCTCACTTTTTGCATCAAGGAGTATGTTTGGCCATTTGAACCTTTCTATGTACAACTTCTCTAAAATGATATAATCACATCTCTACAATCAAATCCTTAAGACTATCAATCTTCCCATCCAACCCCCCCCCCGGATGGTTTAAAGTTGGCAGTTTCTCCTGTATCTCTTCCTCTGCTTTCCTTGCACTTGCCTATTGCCAGCATCTTTGTTTTCTAGTTACATTCTAGTTCATATACTTGTTTATTTTCAAATTTTTAGGAAGTTAGTTCTATGCTATTGGAGAAACTTGTTGCTGCAGGAATTGGGGATCGACCTGTTGTTTTTGTTACTCACAGGTTAGTATGGCTGCCTAAGAATGCTCACATTACATTTATGCACTGGAAATTGGACTTCTGTGCACTCGTTGGTTTACTTCTTTTTTTTTATGATTATCATGCATCTTTTGAAAGCGAAAGTGAAAGTGATTATTGCTTTATAGGATATTTTATTGACTGCTAAATATATACGCTTCTAAACAATCGTGAATAGTTAGAATTGCACAAGGGAATGCATGCAGAGGACCTGACTATTGTTGCTTTTCTTATTGTACAACTTCTTAATGTTTTATAACAATTTGTTCTTTCTATCTCTCTTTCATTGGCACCTTGGCAGAAGCTCAAGATGAATTTCATTAGGGATTATACAAGATCAACAGAGAAAGGATTTAAATTTAAGAATTTAAGATCAACATTGATTCACAATTGTATAATGCCTAAAATATAAGACGCTAAGATACTGCAAATACTAAGTTCTATATTTTTTTTCTATGATAATGAGTCTTACAAAAAAAAAAATTAAAAAGCATCATCTTTTAATTTTTTACTTTATATTTTAAGTTTTTTAAAAGTTAAAATATTAATTTTTAAACAATACTCGTCTGTCTCCATTATTACTGAAATATTGGCTCCAGTATCAAAGTCGTATAGAGGTATCGGCTTATGTGTTTGAGCTGACAAAAAATAATTTTTAATCTAACACCTAATAAAAAGTATCTGACATGTGTTGATGAAGTGTGCGCGAGAAATGTTGGTGTCAGAAACGTTTTTGATGTGGCGACACTTCAAACAAGAGAGTTGTCAGTGTTTCATAAAATTGTACTCAGTTTCCAGCATTATTTTAAAACGATAAACAAGAAAGTAAATCTAAACAAGGCATGCACTTACAGAAAAGAAAGTTTTACATACTTAAAAATAAAAGTAACAAAAAAGGACGCAGAACCATTGTTTTAGTAGCTGTTGATTATTGGCAGTATTGAGATAACACCGACACTACCTTGTTCTATTTCAGGAAAGAATTATAGCCTGAGTGTGCTTGATGTAGATGTCACTTTTTCTTATGAACAAGTTGTTATAAGTATTTTGTGGTTTTAAAGAAAATTTAAGTCCTGTTTCCTATCTGTTGACTACTTTTATGTTTCTAATATAGACTTTCTTCTAGAAGGCCTTTCAGACAAAGATAAAATTGTTGTTTATTTATTTATGTCTAAATTGCAGTTTCTGAATATCTTTGGCACCAAATTATTTATTTAATCAAATTGTATGTCATTTTGTTTTGTCTTGTGTGCTTTTCTATTGTTTCAGTATGGGAGGCCTGGTTGTGAAGCAGATTCTTCATAAGGCAAAGGATGAAAGTTTTGATAATCTTGTGAATAATACCATAGGAATTGTAAGTATGGACTCCTCATTAAATATATGCTTAAAATCGAGGGTATTTTTTATGCTTTATTTCGGTTGTAGGTGTTTTATAGCTGCCCACATTTTGGTAGCAAACTTGCAGATATGCCTTGGCGAATGGGCTTTGTGCTTCGTCCTGCTCCATCAGTGAGTATTTAAAGTTACCTACCCTCGTTCAACAATAGATGTTGGTTAATTTTTTTCTATTCTACTAATTTCTACATTTAAAATATTTTTAAGCACTTGATTCTTAATGTTGTACAGATAGGAGAGCTAAGAAGTGGATCTTCAAGACTGATAGAGCTTAATGACTATATTCGTCATCTTCACAAGAAACGAGTCCTTGATGTCCTCAGCTTCTGTGAGGTAATCAGCACTTTAGTTACTTATTAATCTGTGCTGTTATCTCCATAAGTCTGAGTTGTCAGTGACTGCTTTATGCAGACCAAGGTAACTCCAATTGTTGAAGGTTACGGTGGATGGGCCTTTCGAATGGAAATTGTACCAATTGAGTCGGCATATCCTGGATTTGGGGAACTTGTTGTAAGTATATTTTGAAATTCTATCTCATTTGACAAGAAAAAGAAAATGAAATGAAGAGTAAAATGTTTTGTCAAATTAAGTCATTTTTATCCCAAGCTGTAGATCAGCTGGTATTTTCCCAGCCCCACTAGAGGTGGAGGTCTGGACTTTGATCCCCCAACCCTTCCCAAATTCGTAGTTGCAAAACCAGCTCTACTACTAACTATGGCTAATGAAAAAGGTTCCTTTTTTTCCTTTGAGGAAATATAATGCAGTAACTAATTGTCAGTTCCACTGTAGTTTAATGAGGTTGAGACAAAACATAGATCAAGTTCCTTACATCATTGCCATCAAGTTCTCCAATTAAATGATGACACAGATTTTTATTTGGAATTCTGTAAAACATATTTAATGGAGGTTATTTGTTATTGGAAAGAACATCCAAATGTCATCATTTGAATGAAAACTTCATGGAAAGAATATAAGGAACTTGATAGATTCCTTTTTGGCTGGACTGAATTCACATTCTTCTTTAAGTATTTTTATGCAAGTCGGTTGCAATGGGCGATAATATTTTAAGTGACCTTTTCGTTTTTGTAGTATTGCAGTCAAGTGTATTTTTTAATATTTTTTTTTTTGCTATTTATCTTCAAATTTTGAAACAGGTATTGGAATCAACTGATCATATAAATTCTTGCAAACCAGTGAGCCGCTTAGACCCTTCTTATACAGAGACGTTGAAGTTCTTGCGGAAATTAAAAGCTTCTTATGCCTGAGCTAGTGTGTTTCAGCCGGAGATATGTAAATTCCTTGAAAAGTGCTAGGTAGGTCAAATGCACGAGAAGCCTGTGTATCCTGTGGTTTGGACTCGATATAGGTTGATATAATTTAACATGTTTAGTGAAGCTTCAAGGTGGACTAACAGATTTCGTGCAAGTCTTCTATTAGATATGGCTTGCCCCTGTACATTTTTTCATTCATCTGCTTCAAATTTCGTGAATGTAGTAGGTCAGCTGGCCCTTGGGGATTGTAACCAGTGTCCTTTGTACATAAATAGGAAACAGAAATATAAGCTGTGTATATTCATGTAATCATATCTTGTTCGCTCATCTGCTGTCCTCAGCAAAGAGATTTTAGACATGGTCTATTATTTTAAAATAACTGTAAAAATTACACATACCTCATTTAGAGAGAATTTGATTTGGGGAACATCACTTTGTTCTACAAAATAGTGTGCAAATTTAATAGCTCAATGTGAGTTAAATTAAATTCTAGTATCATTATGTGTGCAGTGTTCGCGGATACATACGTGAAATTTTAAGTGTAAATAATTTGCGTACTTTCTCATTTTTTTGTCAGGCTTTTTCAGTAATGAACTGGTTAAATAGGAATCAATAGTTTTAATTAAATTGTCAAGTGATCAAATTTTAAATTTCTATAATTTTTTTAAGCATTTTTTTATTCTAATAAAGTTGCACAAAGGCTCATTATAGCGGAAAAAAAATCATTTGGTTGAAGGCAATTGGCAAAGTAGGCGTTGCAGATTTATAGCTCCATTCACAGCTATAAGAGGATTGTCCAAAGTGGCCTTCTCTTTTAGTGTGTTATACTCGATCTAAGACCAAGAAAAATTGATGCGAGACTTTCATATATATATATATATAGTAACCAATAACTTCTTAACCTAATATCTAGACTGAGTTAATGATCAGTCTAAGTTTTATAACAATGCTTTAAATATTAGCCTCATTTGGATCATGTTGCAATGGAGTTAAGTGTTCTTTTGAAAGTAAAAAAGGGGTTATCATTTTATTAAACTTAAGTAACTCTATCTCATTGAGAAATTATCATCTAAATTTTGTGTTGGCTCTCATAATAAAGATGAGGATTGTGCTACTAATTAAATTTACATCTTGTGAAATTATGGGATAATGTTTATAATTGGTCAATTCACTTTGGTTTTAATATTTCGAGGTTGTTCACAGTTTCTCTTTTATATTGTGTCTATCATATTTATAGCCTAACGAACATTTATATGTGTAAACATTCAATAATCCATTTGCATTTATTCTAAGAAATTATACTCATGAGCGACACTTATCAATGACATCTTGAATCTTTGACAATTCTGTCACATTGGTGTACCATATGAGACTGTTTTGAATTATAGTTGTACATCACTTGCATTTAAATATTATATAACCACCAACACATTATGTCATGATTATGTAATTTATTTGCCGTTGATACAAATACTGAGTGGAATATTAGAATGTCTTTCTAGATACAAAACCTCCTTTCCACCATCAACCTCTCATACTTTGTGAGTTGTATTGAGTATGTAACTTTTTAAGGTTCACAGAAAATATATTAGATTAGTTAATTTTGCACATTGCAAGTTCAATCAATTTAATCCCACGAACGGAAAAGAAAATGAAAATTTAAATCCCAATTGTGAAATAGTATTTATTTAAACAAACATTTAAAAAAAATTGAAGTGAAGAAGAAAATTGAAATATTTGTACAAGAGTAATTGAATAAAAGGACAAAAACATCCAACGAGTAACGTGTAATTTACATATATCTTCATCGAAGCATTATACTGTGAATCGTTATGTAAAATCCAACGCATTTAATTTTAATTAATAATTGCTATAAACAACACAACACATTCAATCTGCAAAGAAGAAAGCAGGGACAGTCTTGACAGTAGCAATAGGAATAGGAACGAGTGATGTTGTTAACAGCGAAACCCATGCGACAACTATGGTTCCCACTCCCAGTCCCAGAAAAAGTTCCCAAGTGCAATTGCAGGTTATCATCGATAACATTAGCAAGCACCAACACGCCAATTACTACTCTCACTCACTCTCACACTCCTAAGCCTAAACCGACGGTAAAGAAGAGAAAGAGGTATCGGAGGCTGTACCCTGGAGAGACCACCGGCATCACTGAAGAGATGAGGTTCGTCGCCATGAGACTCCGCAACGTCACCGTTTCCCAAAACCAACCGGATTCCGACACGTGGCACCCCTCCATGGATGGCTTCCTCCGTTACTTGGTTGACAACCACCTCATTTTCACCACTCTCGAACGCCTCGTCGATGAATCCGATAATGTCTCTTGTAAGTCCTATTTTTTACAATTTCAATTCTGATTGCCGTGGCGTTACAATACCTCCATTCATTTTTAAACTTTTATTAGTTTCGTTTCGAACTTAATAACGATTTTATTTTACTTTCTAAGTTGTTGAGACGCTTATCATTCTTAATTCTTGAAATGTCTATCACGTTTGTGTCTGCTGTTAGTTGATAGCAATAACACTTAATAGAAGTGTAGTGTTCATGTGGCACGTTAAGTATTAACTTGGCGTGTTAACTGCCAATTGAACGAGTGTTGGAAGTCGGGTAATGGACCTAATGGAGGTTCAAGGCAAATGAGGAAGAAAATGATAACTTCAGGATTTTGTAAATTTGAGTGTAAATTTTCATAATTATCATCCTAAGACTTTGTTTGGGAGTTAGTTTTTAGAGGGAAATGGAGAGAAGGAGAAGGCTTATTTGGTGATAATTCTTGTTTGAGAGTTTTAAGATGAGAAGTAGAGGTTTTAAACCCTCCAAAATCCTCTTAAGCCCATGCTTTTAAGTTCTCCCAATTTGGAGGATTTTTTATCAATCCTCCTTCCTCCTCCTTTACCCGGCTAAGAGTCACATGACATTGTTTGGAGTGTGATGTGCCACTTAACCTGCCAGGTTTTGGTGTGTCAAATAAGCAACTTCATTAGTTGTTACTAATATTAGTCGACTGCAGGGACTAATGTTTTATACAAGTTAGGTGCTACTAGGGAGAAAAAGTTTATTAAGTCAGGAACTAAAATAGTGATTTACTCGTTCTTTATGCATCAAGTAACATATATTTTAAGAAATGTAATTTATACATGGAAAACATTAAGATTACTTCTTGGGATTGATTTTAAGTGGTTAAAAATGGTTAGTTTTTATTGTGAAAGAAAATATTTATTACATCAAAAATGTGAAAATGTAACAAATGTTTTCTTATTCATTAAAAATTGACTACTTTTAAATGTTTAAAATTAGTCTTAATGACTAATGTTAATGAAATCATTTATATAGTTATTTATATTAAAATAATTAATTCTAGTTTTATTATTACTTTTTAGTATTGTTCATGATTTTTAAACTTGTGATTTAACTCAAACTCAAATGAGTTTATAATCTTGGTAAAAAAATTGTGTCAAATTGCATGTAAACTTAGGTAAACTAGTGAGTTTACACCCAATTTACGAGTTCAACAAAACAAAGAGAAAATCGCATTTTCTCAACAAAATAAAACCAATTGGAAATAGGGCACCACTTTTATTCTTTCTCTGCAAGTTGTGAAACAACACATTTACAATTAGTACTCCAAAATCACATTATTATTATATGATTTGGCTATTTAAGTATGATTTTAACTTTATTACTGTACTTTATCCATTATTATGACTTTTTAATAGTATTTTTGTATGAGGTGTACGCTTAGAAGTCTATGATTTAAGTTTAAGACTATACATAAATTCTCGACTTTAATAACTTTGGTATTGATATTATTCTTTCACATATTAAATTTGTTTTTGTTTCTTTTTAAGTTGACAGATAGAAAAGGAATTGATTTGAATTTTTTATGATGAGAATTTGCAGATGCATACATGAGGAAAACGGGGTTGGAAAGATCAGAAGGGCTTTCAAGGGATCTGGAAAGGTTGGAGGAAGAAGGAAGTGTGATTCCAAATCCCAGCTCTGCAGGGCTTACTTATGCCAAATATTTGGAGGAACTTGCAGAGAGAAGCACACCCTTGTTTCTCTCCCATTTCTACAATATCTATTTTTCTCATATTGCTGCTGGTCAGGTCATTGCAAAGAAGGTAGGTACTCGTTTCCCTTTTACCTGTCTTGAAAGGGAAGCAAGGGACACATTCCCTTCTACCTTAGTTCTGTCTCTCCAATTGAAACATAACACTTCAGCAATACATTGTCATATAAAGAATGTGATTTTCTTAGGTATCATTTTTCAACCAGAGAGACACTGATCAAATAGAAGAGCTAGGTCAGGGAGCCTTGTGAGTGAGTCAGTGATGTAATTTGTAGATAATTTGATTGTGTTTCTGGATTAAAAGTGAAGGGAGTGTTTGAAAGTTGATAACATGAGGCAGGCCCATAAGAGAAATCTAGTGCAAAATAGTTTGTTATATGTCCATAACTCAAGATTCTGATTCCCTTTAAGACTTTAAATTTCATTTGCACTAGCTTGGAAAAGGAGAATCTGATTACAAGTATTATGTAGGTATTTGAGTAATCAATTATTTCTTGAGAATAATGGCCCTTGAAAGGGATTTTGGAACTTTGAATAATATAGAGCATGGTATTAAGCCATTTTGAAGAATATGGTGTGGTGTGGAGGGTGGATCTTGTCCTTTAATTTCAGCAGATATATTGAATGTTAGCTTGCTATTGAATTTGATCCATAAAGATATGCACATATAGGCCTCTGCAAACTCATGCAACCTTGTAGGAATGAAAATATATATATAATGTCTTTCCAATGTTAATTGGTGCTGAAATCTTGTAGTTAACTTAGAATTCAATTATGTACTTATTGTGAGACAATCAAGAACTTTTTGATACTTATTATATGTTGTTGCCTTTAGGTTTCTGAAAAGCTCCTGGAAGGTAAGGAGCTGGAATTTTACAGATGGGAAGGAGATGTTCCTGAATTGCTGAAAGGTGTTCGTGATAAGCTCAACTTGCTTTCAGAGGTTGATTACTAAGAATCCTATAATTGTGGCTTTAGTATTATATTTAGATGCTGTGTCATTCTTATTGTTTTTGTTCGTTTGTGGTTCATGCAGCATTGGTCTCGTGATGAAAAGAATAGATGTTTAAAAGAAACTACAAAGGTATTCCGGTCTATGGGACAGATTGTTCGTCTGATTGTCTCATAAATAGACCTCTGGTTCTCTTTTTCTTTTTCTAAACAACACATCTTTTTTATGGTAAGCTTTCTAAAATCACCTTGTCTTCCTTTATCTTGTTGAATTTGTGGCCTTTAACTGATGGAGGACTAGTAGCCCCAACTCAATGATATTTGATGTATTCTTAGACAATGTATTCAATCCTTAACAGAGAGAGAACTGTTTGTTTCGCTCATGCTTAAATGGAAAAACAATACACTGATCATGTCATCCTGCTCTAGAGCATCCTACTTCTTACATTACATTGTATGTACAAATTGTGTGATTGTACAATTGGACTTTTATTGGTTAACCCCAAGAACTGTGATTCTAGCATGTGCCATTTAGCTTTGCGTATGCTGTGTTGTTCAGGGGGGTTTGACTGAATTGTAGCTTGGGAACCTTTTTTTTTTTTTCCTTCTTGCAGCTAATTTTCTGTGTCCTCGTGTACATGTTAGAAAAAGCGTATTACTATTATAACGTCTCATATTCGTGTAATTTTTTTGAGTCCCCCCATAATAAATAGAGAACTCACCTTGGTGTAATTGTTTTCGCCACACATGTAACAAAAGGAGTGGCCTCACTTCATAGCTCAGATGTAACTTAGTGGGAATTATTCCAGGCTCGGAAATTCCAAAATAATCAAGATTTTTCAGTATTACTGAAGTTTTCCGTCGTATTGTGGCCATTATTTCCTACTTGCACTATATTTTTTGGCTATTTATTAATATGTAGTTCAACTATTGAATCCTTTGTAACTTAAATATTCTCGAGTCTTGAAAGTTCCATTTTGGTTAGACATTCATTATGCTTCCGTTGAAAATTTCCTTAGCATTCTGTACTGTATAAAATTTGTAACGTGTATAGGAGTAACGAGCGTTTCGCAGATGCTCTTTTTTTCTTTTCCGCGTTTTATTATATGTCAAACCTTAATTTGTGTTGCAACTCTATGAATGTCTCTGAACAATGAATCTTCCTGTGGAACATTAGGAAAAGTTTGAAGAGCTTTGCCAATCTGAGTGGCAACATCTACTGATTCTTGACTTCATTCATCAAGTTTCATTATCAAGAAATTTATTCGGTTCCTCGCACGCGCCCTTTGCAATTTTGTTTGTTAGTAGAACCCTGCGATGACACATGTTAGGTGCAGAGAGTAATTTCCATTTTCAGACGATAGTGTCATCTCTATTTTTATGGGTGATACTTCTGTTTACATGTCAAATGCGATTTTAAAATAATTTAAAAATAATTAAATTTAAATTTTAAGATTATAATTTTAAAAAATTAAATTAGAAATTGTAAGAATTTAATTTTGATTGTAGTATTAATGATTAGTAAAAACAAAAGTTGGGCTACGTTTAACTGACATATTTTTTATAAAAATATAAATTATATTTATAATTTATTAAGTTATAAAATTAAATGAAGAATAATAAAATTTAATTTTAATTGTAGTATTAATTTTTAGTAAAGAAATTAGTTAAAATAAATTTAGTTGACATAACATGTATAAAAATAAAAATTAAATTTATAATTATCTGACTCATTAAAATTATAAAATTTTAAAACATTATTAAAAATTGTAAGATATTTATTTTAATTTCAGTATTGATTATTCTAAAGATAATCTTAATTATTTTTATATTCATAATTTTAAATATTTTTTAAAATTTATAATCTTAAATATTTTTTAAATTTATAATTTTAATTTTTTTAAATCATGATTTTAAATATTTTTAAATTTAAATTTTAAGTATTTTTAAAATATAAATTTAAATATTTATTAAATTATAATTTTAAATATTTTTAAATTAATGCCAAAAGTAGATATAATACTATCGTTTAAAAAGAAAAGATACTTATTATAAAAAGTAAGTATCATTTTAATATGTGCGAGATTATTTAAAAAAAAATTAATTAGTATTGTTCGTAGAACTCCAATACACGTAGTCACGTAACAAAAAAAATTTAAAAAAATAAATTTTAATTAATTTTATTTTAAAAATAATTTTTAAAATTATATTATTTATATTAAAAAGACCGTAAGTAATTGTAATATTAATGACCTTACTTTCTCAATGCATTACTAACCAAGCTACAAATTTTTCTATTACTCAAATATCAATGTAAAAGTGAAAAAGTTTACTCAACTATCGTTTTTTTCTTTTCAGATGAATTATACTTACACCTCCGGATGTTAATTAAAATTTCACTTGATACCTTTTCAATTATACAAATTACTCTAATTTTTTATGCATTTATATAAATCAGAGAATGTCAAAGTAATATAACGAGACAAAACTTGGATGCAATTGCTTAAATGCTGTTACTAATCGAATTTAGAATTTTACTTCGGGTAATCTATTATAATATTAAATATAAATATTTTACTAAAATAAAACTCTAATTTTGATTATCAAACAACCTTAACAGTATTTGCAAAATAATACCTAAGTTTTCTGTAATATAGAAAAGGAGAGTTGTACTAGATAAAATTTTATTAAATCTTAGGATGTGGGAATGTAATTTTTCCTTGTTTTTAACAGTTACTTAGAAACTAAAATACTATTCCCTCTACATCGTAAAACTAAAGTTACTTGGTTTGCTGATGCACGGCTTGCTAAGTGCTTGCCCATTAGCTTGTGTTACTAAATCAAATTGATATGGCAAAGAAAGAACTGTGGACCCACTGTTTTGTTTGTTTCTTTCTCATGTCATGGAATTTAATCAAACCGTATACCTTTTTTCTTCTGTCGTCTTCGAGAGAAAGTATCGACAGTTAAATATACACCAACACATACTTAACATAAATATAGCATATACTATTTCTGTCCGCCGTGTAATTTAAGTTAAAAGTTAAACATAGAAAAGAATGGAACCATGGCACGACCAGGTTGCTTGAACAACGCTGAATTTCACGTGGAAACCTCGAAACGCTGAATCTAACTTCAGAAACATAGAGATGAACAAAGGGGTGGACATATAAACAGTGGAGGAAGAAGAGGGTCTTTGTCGTTGTCTTTCTTTACCTTGAAACATGATTGAACAAATATTTATCCTCAAGAAGGTGAGAAAAGTACTACCATTGCTACTATGTTCTTTTTTTATTTTATTTTATTTTTTCATGCTTTGTCTTAATCACATTACTGTACAATATTGATTTGCAAGTGTGACATCTTGTAACTCTTCCATTACAGGACTCCTTGGACACTAAATCTATTAAAAAATTTCCATCAACATTGAGGTTGGTAGTTTTACTCATCGTTGCAACTTGTGGTGTATACATTTGCTCTTTTAATTTAGAGCAACCAAAGGTTCGCATAAATACCAAGTTATTGGAACTTAAGGTCATCAACCACCACTCATGTCACCTTTCTGGTGTGGAAGAGTGGGAAGTCCCTTACTTGCATTATCCAGAGCCCAAAACTCACAGCAGGTAGATGCTTATATATGGTCCATTTTATGTGAAACTCGAGAACAAAATCTTAAACATTAGATCTTATCATGAATTATCAAGATTAAAATACATATAAGTCTGAGTTTTTTTTTATCTTTTTTAAAGTGATTATGTGACTTTCCAAAGCTTTTAATTTTGATCGTTTATAATTGTACGGTCCAATTTTACTTTTCTTACTCTCTTATATAAAATTTACTCTTCTCACTAAATACATCTTCAGTGTGGTGTGTGTATAAAATCAAGTATTAAATTTGGCTCCGGTTTGTTATGTGGGTTTGATTATTTAGCTATATATAATGATTGGTGAATGAGCAGAGAGGAGTGTGCTTGCAATCCCGTTCGTCTATTTTGCATCTTGACAATGCAAAGATCTGGAAGTGGATGGTTTGAGACGTTATTGAACAGTCATATTAATGTAAGCTCGAATGGAGAGATATTTTCTGTGACCAAAAGAAGGGAGAATGTTTCTTCAATATTGAAGACAATGGATCAAGTGTACAATCTTGATTGGTTCACTAGTGCTTCTAAAAATGAATGTTCCGCAGCTGTGGGCTACAAGTGGATGCTTAATCAGGTTGGTACCATGACCACATAGAATTGCTTTTATATACCTAGTTGAAGTGTGTCCCAACTTCATGATCCATCATGAATTATGGGTGCTTAGAAAATTTATTTTTACTTGTGAAAGTAACCTGTGAATTTTTATTTATTTGGATAAATTAAAATTTATTAAATAAGTTCTTTTAAACTACTTTTTTTTAAAATAGACCTAAGTTCAATTTGGATAAAATTTTAGATAAGTTTTTATTAAAAAATTAATATAAAAATAAAATAAATTTTTTTTCATAAGTTAAAAATAACTTTTCTTCTCAAATTTTAGAAAAGGTTAAATGAAAAAGTTTCTCAAAAAAATATAAAAACATAAGTTGTTTCTAACTGATAAAAGAAAATTTATTTATTTTTTATACTGATTTGTTCTCTTATAAAAACTCATTTAAAAGTTTTTAACACAAGTTTATTGTTATTAGTTAAACTTATGAATGAGTTTTTAAATTACTACGCACTTAATAAATTTTTATACTTCTATTGAACATATAAATCAATTATCATTAATTTATTTTAGAAAAAAATTTGTCACTTATAATGATATTATCTAATTTAAGAAGAATTGTGTCCGAGTGAAGGTATTTGTGGTAAACAAAAACAAATTTAAAAGTTGTGATGTTAAATTTTATTCAATATTGGCAGGGTTTGATGGAGCATCATAAGGAGATAGTGGAATACTTCGAAAGGAGAGGAGTTTCAGCAATATTCCTTTTCAGAAGGAATTTGCTCCGTAGAATGGTATCGGTGCTAGCAAATTCGTATGATAAAGATACAAAGCCACTGAATGGAACCCACAAGTCTCATGTCCACTCCACATTAGAGGTCTCTTTCCCTCTCTCTTCCATAGTGGTATGTGTCTTTGCGTTTGTATTACATGTTTGGATTATGCTATTGTATGTTGAGAAAAGTTAATTAACTAAAAGTAACTTTTATACTAGAATTATGTAAAGCAAAACATTAGCTAATTAGTGTTAACTACAAAAGGGAATCTGTTAAATTAATTCTACTTGGGCAGGCTGGAATTCTCGCCAAATACAGGCCATGGATCAATACCACGTTGCTGATGGAAGAGCTAAAGCAAACAGAGAAGACAGCTACAAAATGCATTGAATACTTTAAGAACACTCGCCACATTGTTCTCTACTACGAGGATCTTGTCAAAAATCGCACGGTAAGTCTACCAAGGCTAAAAGCATGTGCTATTCCAGTGCCACCACAATTCCACAATTATCTTTTTTTATTTTATAGTTTAGTTTTGACTCATTGTCAGGCCACATAAAATTTTATGCTATAAAGTAATCATGTAATAATGATAATGTATTGATAAAATTTTTTGGTTTTTGGGTTATTAGTTGTCATAGCAAAGTGTAAAAATACATTTATCATAACACAATATATTTTACGCAGTCATGGATCAAAACTCAACCATATTGGGATATAATTTGACCTTGGGTTTTTTTCATCCTCAGAAACTGAAAGATGTTCAAGATTTTCTGAGATTGCCGTATAGAGATATGCACAGCAAGCAAGTGAAGATTCATACTGCTCCATTATCAAAGCAAATTGAAAATTGGGATGAAGTGCAGAAAACGCTTAAAGAGACACTATACCATAATTTTCTCCTCTCAAACTAGTTGAATTTAGTATGAAACAATAGCTGATTTTGACGTGAATGGACAAAGATTGTTCCTTGTCGTAGGTCGTACGCACGAAATATAGTACACGTGAATGCAACTTATTGGAAACTTTAATTTAAAGCAATAAAGCATTTAATATGGTCAACAGAGAAATGGCTTGGGTCAACTTGATAAAATATTTTTAACTTCAAATTAGTTTTGTATATTTAAAATTGATACTATAACTTTAAGGTACCGTGAAAAGAAAGAAAGATACAACACACGAGTCTAATGGAATCTACATTTCAGTCGCACAAGAGAGGCAGGGAGAATGCAACTGAATATAAGTTTTAATTAAGTTTAACTTTCTTCTTTCTTGGACATAGATTTGAATATTATTTTATTATTAAATAACATGATACAAATATTATATATATATTATGAAATGTTAATTTATTATGAATAGTTGATCACTTACTAATTATATTTAATAAACATTGTCTTTTTTACTCCATAATAATCATTTCATATTTTTCAAGATTTTAGGATCTAAATTATTTATGTATATCAACTTGTGTGCATTGGAGAGAGTTAGGACACAAGTCATTTATAATTAAAACCTCGTATCAACAACCATTAAAAAAATATAAACAAAAGTAGTATGTCAATAAATCATTTTCATAATAGTGATTGAACACATGATTTCTTACATAGTTAAGATTGTCGGTAGAATACCAAAGTGTTCTTTTCAACTTCCATCCAACGTGGTCTTCGATTTATTTAAGGACAAATCTTTTAGTGTTATTTTTAAATTAAAATAAAAGTTTTACATTAGTAAGAGGGCGTGCACCAATAAATTTCAGTCGGTTTCAGATAAAAAAAAATTGATCATGCATATTAACTTTCATTTTTGTCTGAAATATTTACCGAATTAGGCGACTTTTGTTAAAATAATGAGTGAATTTGATGAGTGATTTTATTCAGTTAAAATGTCTGAGATATTAAATTTTTTTTTTTGCTTCGCACAATCATTACACTCACCCTTCTTTACCCATCTCATTGCTAACTTGAATTTCATATTATTTACTTGCTTTAACTACTCATGCTATGGATGTGGGAGCATCAACTTGGTTTGCAATGAAAAAGAAAAAGAAAGACAAAGAAAGAAGGGAATAGAAAAATTGCGACCCATCTTCATGACAGATCCTTGAGAGTCAACAGATAGTTCAGTCAACCTTTTAGGGTGAGTAGAAAAAGCATAGTTGATGAGTTATTAACTCATATAGTAAATTGAATGTTTCTAGCACTTTTCATTGAATAAATGATCTAAGTTAATATAATTAACTGAAAATTTAAATAGAAAGATATTATTCTTGGAATGCACTAAATTGTTCAATTATTAATATTTTGTAGTTTTTTTTTTAAGGTTTTAAAAGAGTAAGTTGCAATTGAATCGAGTGGAAGGAAGTGAAATATTACAGGGCTAATTTATGGACACACACATAGCTGATTGTGGAGACACAAATCTGACAGAATATATAAAAATAGAATTTTTTGCTAAAGACATCACCTTTTTCTTATACCTTTTAGGCACAGAATTTTAGATTTTTTGTACATCTTTTATGTATGAATGTTATTCAGTCATTTCTTCTTTATAGGATTTTGATAGGAAGTAAGGTTATATCTCTTCATTCTCTTTACTCTTTAATGAAACAGTGATTTCCTACATTTTATATTTCATGTAATTTTCTTACAGCTAAACATGATGTTTATTTCTACAAAATCTATTTCAATTTCTTCTCTTTTATTATTTCTGCAATATCTTACTAATTTTATTAGGGCTTGAGGATGGATGACTTAATTCTTAACTCATTGAAATAATATAAATCTAAGATATAACTTAGTTTACTTCTATTCTAACTTATTTAACCCCTAAACTTAATGTTTCTTAGCATTCAGAGTTGATAAAGAGAATCTTCTAATTGAAACATTTGAATTATTATTGAAAATGAATTAAGTAGCTCATTATGTGTTACCTAGAAATAGGAATCTTTAATGGTGTAGTCACTTTGATTTCTAACTTAATCTTAACCTTTCCTTGATTGCCTAAAGAATTAGGAACTGGGAGTTGGTTTAGAACCAATTAATCAAGGAATTGATATTAGGTACCAAGAAAATTTGACCATTAGATTAGTTGTATTTTGGGTTATTCATACTTTTTACAAAGGGAAAGAATTAAGGATTCCTAATTCAATATATTAATTATTAACTGTTTTGTTGAATTTACACTCATTTCTATGCTACAATTTATTTGTCATTTTATTTTAGTTTCTTACACTTAGTTTTATTCTCACATTGAAGTAATACTTAAAGTTTATGTTAATTTTAATTAATGGATAATATTTAATTTTTTGCATTGAATTTGTACACCGTTTATCACCCAACTAGAGATATTCTTGTTTGTAGACAATAAAATTTAATTGTTATTGCAAACGATTTGGTACACTTACTAATTTGTTTATCAATAGTGCATCAAGCATAATGTTTGTTTCTAGTAAAGTACAACATATAGCCACACTGATCAACGGCTCCAAGATTCTAGATAGTAGTCAAATGATTGGAAGATGTTCTAGACTAACGTAACCAGTACCTCTAATGATAGAAAGCCCACTGGTTACTAGATTATGCTAGCAACTTCACAGTGCGCATAATAGAATTGCATTTTTTCAGATTGAATTGGATAACAAAAAATCTTAAATCTAAAATTGAATTTGACCATATAAATCCATTGTAAACTAAAATTTTTAAAATATTGATCCAAAACTCATCCCAATCCACCCGCTACACAGTTTGTTCTTCTTAATCGGTGCGAGTTTGGCCAGATTGTTACGGTATGTCTACCCGTTACATGAGCTATTAGCACAAAAATAATTTTTAGGTAAACTAAAAATGACTTTTTATATAAATTCTCCTATTAATATAAATTCAGTCAATTTAATAAGTTGTCACATTTTATATTGATTAATAATTGATGTTTTTACATCAATTTTATTAACAAATAATATAAAATCTATATATCCTACATCAGTTTTACTAACAACTGATGTAGAAACTAATAATTTTCTACATCGATTAGAAAATCATTGTTCATGTAGAGATTTTACATTGGTTTTAAACATAATTATATAAAAATTCTATTTTTTTAATATACTTTTCATTTTATATTATATCTTAAAACTTAAAATCTAAATATAATTTAGACACAGCAAAATATATATATATTATAATTATAATAAAAAAATAGTATGTACAAATGAATATTTTTATATAAATTAAAATCAATTGTAATGTCTAAAATATTTTGAAAAATTACTAATATGTAAAACAAAATTAGCCCAATATTTTTAATCTTCTCTTTTGGCATTGGATTGCCATCTTTAAATATCTACAAGTTTAAATTACAAAAAATATTAACTTTAAATATTATAAAGTTATAAGTAATAAATATATTTATCAAAATTTAGGAATTAGTAATAGTGGTTGTGATGACCATTTTTATATGTCTCACCACATAATATTCACACCTTCTACTCTCTTTTTTTTTGTTGTGACTAAAAGAAAAATAACAAGCATTTAATATTAGACTATAATAAGTAATTTACTTAAAATTAAAAAGAAATTAAATATTGAACAAAAAGAATAGCTAAACATACACATGGGTAAATCTATATAGGTTTTTTTCTCGTAATATGTTTACCCACCAACACATTGTATGCTTTCATACATCTATTCAGGGTAAAGATATCATAAGAGTGAATTAGGTGACCATTTGATTACATATAACATATAAAATAATTTATAACAAGTATACTTATATACTTACACATCAATAATGACTTTTATTTCTTTCTTGGGCTTATTCCACACGAGCATAAAAAGACAACTTCGTTACATTTAGGACAAATTATAAACAATTGTCAATGGCTCCTACAAACCAAAATGGTCATTAGAGAAAGTAAAACTAATTATATGAAAATGTTCATTAGCAAAACCTTACCCATAATAAAATAGTTAAGGTATTAATGCTTGATTCCTTCACACAACCTTCTTTGAATGCATATCTGGATAGCTTCACACTTGTTCCTTAAGCTTTTAATTTGAAGAGAGTAAAGAAATCCATACAAAGCATTCATACCTTTTGAAAATGAATGTTGATGTAGGTAACTACAAAATGGTCATATAAAATTAAGTATTGGTGCTTTAACATTTAATTAACATATCAGTAAAAAAAAAAACAATGAACTTATATTAACCAAAATTGAATAACTGAAATGCAAATTATTTCTTTACTCATTGTAATTTTTAAAATGTCCTTTTGTGTCAAATATAATGGGATTGATGATGCATTACCAGTTATTTTCAAACTGTACTTGCAAGGGTTCCTTTCCTAACTTCATTGCTATTAGACATAAGCATTCGAGTACATCAAGTTGGAGCACCTAATATTCTTTGTAGTTTTACTATACAATTTGATGTACTTAATAGATATTAAATTTCAAATAGTATATATAAGGAATCATTAAAAGAAAGTATACCTGATCAATAGAAAATTGAATAAGGGATTTCTCTCATTATGCTAACCTCCTCAGTTAGCATAGGGACAACAAGAGTATCATTATCTTCAACTTGTTCAACCATTACTCTAAGTGAACAATCATCTATTTTTTGATGGCCCAACTTGTGCACTGAGTCATATGTCACTAGCTACAGAGAACCCTCTACAAACAACTTACACTTATGATTGACAACATTCTCAGCTAGATCCACTGGGGTATAACTCCATTTGGTGTTGATATGTTTTTCAGGATGAGAGGCTTTAGGAACACAAGTTTGGAAATTTATATTCCCTTGAGAGAGACCTAACAAGACAAATTCCTACCAGCTCTCAAATCGTATTTGATCTCTTCTTTAATTGTCTCCAATTCATCGCATGTAACTACTCCTTTCTTTTTTGGGTACTTAGTTCAAAGTATTGTCGAATACCCACATCCCTTCCAACAATAGAAATATGATCAGGGTGTTCAAGTTGACCAATAGCAGCAAAAAGAATGTCATTATGTCCAACAAGTGTAAAGTTTCTATGTGAGTTTTGCTCTAGTAACATATCCTACAAAAATATAAATAGTTAATAATTAAATTAAAAAATTATTTTGTCACATAAATAAAATAAATTAATAAACAGCTAATAAATAAAGAAAGAAGTGATACAAAATTAATGTTTCATTAAATAATCACAATTTTGTTACTAATTACGCGACTCTCGTTGTAGGTGTACTCTTCTAACTTATTTAGATGTGTTTTCTTTCTTTTTTCGTGACATGTAGGTGGTAATAGAGGAGAAACAACATTAAAAAGATTAGATTGAGAGGCTTGAGAAGATTATAGGAGGGAATTAGGGTTAATACTTAACATTTTATATATTTGGCTAAGTTCTCTCTATAGTCATTAATAATTATATAATCATATGAGTTGCTCCACAACTTACCTATCGAGAGTTATATTTTAAGATATGACTTATAGATAAATATATAACCTATTATTTCTCGTAGGATTGAGAGATCAAATTTAACAACGTTCATAATAAATAAGTCTTTAACAAGTAAGCTTAAAACTCTATTATAATAATTATTAATATTTTTAATTATTTTTATTTTTTTAATTTTATATAATCTTGTTTGAATAAATTTTTACTTACAATGAAGTAACTAAAAATTTAAGAAAATAAAAACCTAACTCATTTTTAGTTTTTAAAAAGTTTTTTGTGGATACTTTTATAAAATTTTGATTAAGATAAAGATTTCACTATTTATTTTATGTAATTTCATATCTTATGTTTTTTACTAAGTTCATAGTTCTTTTATAAGTTATAATTATTTTATTTTTTTGAATGGACAAATTTTTTTTATTTGAATATTTGAGTAATATTATATTTCAATTTATAATTTTTTTTTCAAAATTCTTTTTTATACAAAATAAAAGATTTAAAAATTTAATATAAATATTTATGTTACTCAAATAAAAGAATCCATATCAAAGTACTGATATTCTCTAAAAAGAAAGAAATTCATATTGTTGTCAACTTAGTTAATTTGTTTAGGTAAGTGTAGGTAGTATTAACTTTTTTAACAAATATTCATTAAAGAGAAAAGAATAGTTCAAAAACTTTTCTTTGAAAAAGTTATTTTCTTTAGTGAATTTAATTATTATAAAGTTACTACATTTTTTAATAATTGTTTAAAATTTTGATGGGATTTGAGCATGAGATTTACCATGAAGATTTGATCCTATTTGCTGAGTCGCTGATCATTACAACTTTGTTACTATATTTTAGGAACTTTTTTTTTTTAATTGTTTGTTGATAAATCGTGCTGAGTTTCACAAATTGAAATGTTCTATGCTATTCGAGAAAAGACCAATCACAAATGAAGTATCGAATGCGCGCACTCCCAGCTTCGGTCCATCTCACTTTGCAGAAATAGAAGAGACAAAAAGATGAGGAAACTAAATTTTTTTCTTTCATTTCTTTAAATTGCTGCCTAAATAATGTTACAAATAACTAAATCAACAAATCATTGAACTGTCCCGTTGGCTGTGGTAGCACCATCATTGTTATCTGTCCGACCAATAACAAAATGATCAACAATTTTGACTGTATGTACTGGATCCTGGTGGGCAGTGGCAGCCCTCCATTTGCTGGGAAAGCTTCTCAAATGACTCAATTGCTGTGGATGTTTCGTCTCTCCGTCCCACTCAGGATCAAGTTTCCACTCCTTAGGAACCTACAAATTGAAATTTTCAACGATGATTAATATAATCTGGAGAATACTAATTAAATTCCACCACAAAAACCAAACATTAGTGGCTACGAAATTTAAAGTTTTTCTCAAACACGAAAACAAGGTAGTCATGATACCAAGAGAAAATCTGTGTCACTCTGTTCTTGATGCTTTCACTAATTCAATACTTAATATGAAATAATAGATTTAAATCAGTGATAGTTTCTACCTTATCCACTGCCAGAGTAAAAACTTCAAGATCACCATCAGAATTGATGTGAAATCGTGTGAATGATTTGTAATTAGCTATCCGGAGAGATGAAAAGGCTTCGTCAAAGTGTAAGTGAAGCCAGTTGATGCAAATGTACAAGTAGCTCCCAAACACTAAGGAAACAACAGGGGTCGAGAAGACCCAAAAATAAAGGAAGACAGAAGCATAATATATTATAGCACCCCCTCGTGAAAGAGACTCTAATCCATTCTTGCAAATATTGCTCCGAGAGACAGCCATGACCTGAGAAAATAATCTCCATGACAGTATCTATTGTGAGAAAAATCAAAACACAAAATCCAGAGAATTCTCTTACCTCTGGCACATCAAAAGCTGACATTAAATATTTGATGCATGCTGGATAAAGTCCAAATGTCCATTGTTCAATACGAGCTCTGAGGCCAGTTGGATCAGGAAAGTGCTCACTTTCCACTGATCGATACCACTGATACAAAGAGTGATACCCTGCGTTACACAAAAAAGTTGACATTATAACCCAAAATATCATCATCACTATTCACACACGCAATCCCACATTACGAAGCATAAAAATCCTTTTCCATAACTGTGACGAGTAATGGCAAATAGTAACTTGATCATGTGTCAAACTTCACCAGATTAGGAGTCATGTCCATATCACCACCAGAGCTAAGTTCTATCAGTTCATTATCAACCTACTGAATCTAGCTTCCAACATTGAAATGAAACAAAAAATAAATAAATAAATATAAAATGTGGAAGTTTATATTTTATAAGCTCTATAGCTATGAACATGCCCTAAAGGATGTATCAATATGATGTGACTGACCAAAATCTGGCTGCAGGTTACATACGATAAAGACCTAATTAGTTTGGTGTAGATGTAGCAGTCAGCTGACAAGGCAATACAATTTGTCATAGTTTTCTGGACTTTCAGGAAAAATGACAGCATAATGCTACATCAGTGAAAGAGTGCCATGTAAACATCAATTTGACAAGGGGATTTAATTGCATTAATTTCAAACCTACGACTGCAATTAGAAGTGGGGACCAAAATAAAAATTTCATGAAACTAAAAGGATTAACAGTATAACAAAGCCAAAATGTATTGTTTACAGACTTAGGAAGAAAAAGTTATAAAAAATTATATCAATACAAAGCATTCAATAGATAGTAAAACAGACCTGAATTTGCCAGCAACTTATGTCGGATGCATGTTTCAATGCCTACTTCAAGAAGCAACATAAGAATCAGAGCTGCAGCAAGGTGAGCAGAAACATGAAGAACTCCAATTATTGCTCGTTTCTTCCGTGACAATTTTGGTGGAACAAAAGAATATGCTGCAATTAGTAATAGTATAGCTCCCACTAGTGACACACACGAGTGCTGCAGAATATATATAAATCCATTCCACACTGTACCAAGGAAACTCTTTACGTGACCAGAAAATGTATCATCTTGGAGGATGTGATTCAGCTCACACTAGAAAATAAGTAAAAGAAAACAGTTGCATCTTAGCGACAGTTGATAGTGACTTAACAGATAAGCAAAATGCTATTCTCTGCTTACTCTATGGACCAACAAGAAAGAACAAGAATCCAGTGGCTCAAAAACCATAATCAACATTGAGATCATAAAAAGAAACTAAAAAATAGCAATGATATGGAGGAACTCACTTGTGGAAACATTGAGAAGACAAGCACAAAATATATAATGCCACCAATAAAATCAAATTGCCAGTTCTTCTTACGAAATTTCAGGATATTTCCCAATGCAATCTGCATCAAATTTAAAGATGTGTTACACCATAATATGCAAAACAAGGATTTAGTGCTTAACAGTTAAGAGAGGGATGACAAGCAATTATTAACATTCATCATACCCTGCTTGAATCTTCAAATGAAGGATATGAAGCCTTGCATTCATAGGAAACTCCATTAAGTTTTTTAAATTTACTGAAAACATGGGTAGGATGTAGAAATGCTCCACCACAACCATTAACAAGAAGATGATGAACATGAACAGGCCCATCTGACTTTACATGAGAATGACGCATGTAATGATGCAAGTCCCCAGCCATACGCAACTTACATCTTCCTCTCAAATAATCACAAATCAGGTGAGACACATTCTTTCCAGTGGCATCATTCCAATACCAGTCAGTGAGCCAATTAGGTTCATGTGTCATAATGATCACAGAGTCATCCTCTTGAACCTTAATACAGAACAGTGACGAGCAGGTGAGCTAAATCAGTACATAGGTCATATCACATAATTGAGGTTTTAAGATAAAAAGGGTCCAAAGTAAGATCCAGTAATAAAAAGAACAGTATAACAAAAACAGAATACCAAATATCTGCTAATCAAAGCTTGTTTTGTAGAGCAGGACAGAGATTTATAAGCAACAAGTTCATAATTGAAATTTGAAACAAAGCATCTATATAAGCTTAGATCTGGGAAATAAGTTGTTCCCAAACATTCACTTAGCCAAGCATGACACTGTCAGTTATTGCCAGAACATTTTCTAATTAAATAACCACATTCTATAAAAAATCACTGCCCATCTCAATCTTTGTCCTGAGACTTGACATGCTGACCTTTCAGTGATTCTACCATAATTGACAGTATAACTGAAACAAATTTTGCCAAGAACACAGTTCCTTTAAAAATGTGAACAGAATCATTAGTGAACTTCACCATTCATAAATATGAAGAAACAGATAGAATATTTACCTTTTCTTTTACCAGTTCTGAAAAGAACTTGAATTGGTACACATCAATATCTCCATGAAGGGCAAGATCAAGCCCAAAAACCCACCATCGTTTAGGGAGTTGTAAGGCAAAATAACTCTTCTTCTGAGGCATGAGCCATCCACCTAACCAACTTCTATGACATATATACCTCATAAAGGTCTGGAGTCCATCAAACCAGTCTTTCAAGCAACAACAATAACAATTACTACATTGTATTGGCATTGGGCATAAATACAAGATTTAAAAATCTTTTAAAAACTGAGATAAAGTAAAATGACCAAAATAGCCACAATAATCACTGGAACAAAAAAAGCTATATAATAGCTACAGAAGGGCAATGTACAGTTATTCAATAAATACCATGAAAAATAACAGAAGGAATTTGGTAAGGCTTAAATGAGGAGCTAAAACTAACCATGGTTTCCAGGAATAATAAAACACTGAGGTCCATTGTACTGTTTAATTGGAGCCCCAAAAGGTACCTCAGGCTTGTTCACAGCTATCTGCTCTGCTTTATACCAAGGAGGAGGTTGAAGAGCGTACTCAAAAGGAACAAAAAGACGCCTTTCATATGTGAATGCTGATGGATTTGGATACCTACAACAGACACAAAAATTAGTCATTGCAGAAAATAAATATAGCCCACATAACATTACAAGAGAGAGAGAGATTTATAAGTTAAAACTGCAAATGACACTACACAGATTCTTTAATTCAGTTGAAAAAGCAGTTTTGGTGTCCCACAATAAGCTAGAAAATTACAAACATGTCCAGCAAATATGATTTTCACAGAAGTCCTACTAGTCAGCCATCTGGTCAATGGAAAAAGGGTGAAGCAGAAAATCAGTAATTAACATCATAGCATGCAAAGACCTGAAATTGGTAGAAACCAAGCCGCAAATACTTTCAAAAGGGTGGTAGATTTGGTGGGATAATTGCAAAATCACAGTCAATAATCTAAAAGCTTGAGATGAAATTCACAAGTTCAAGATAAATATTCTATGCTTCTACTATGGGGATTTATAATTCACATGTTCCCAGAAAACAAACAAAAAGTAAGATACACAACACTTGCTAAAATACTCCTAATTTCCTAGCATTCAAGTAGAAGTTGAAAAATTGATCCCCATTGATATAACTACAAAATGCAAAATCCAGTAAAAAAGATACATTTTGCCTTTAATATGTACACCATTACTGAAGCAAAAAGAAGTCGGGTATTGTTCTAGCAAGTTAATGTGTAATATAAAAGAGTACATGATGGCATCTGGTCATAAGCCCTCAACAAAAAATGTACAAAAGTGTGGACAGGAGACTCAATTTCGTTTATCATGATTTTGTTTTAGACCTAGGAATTCAAAATTCTCAATCAAGAACATCATTAAATGGTGTCAACTGACTCAACTTATCATTCCCAGAAAGCTTTCAAATAATAAATAATAATTAACCAAATCATGTAATAATAGCCATGAATACAATAATTAGGTGCAGTCAACTTACGCAAGATCACCCCCAATAAGCAGCAAGTCCCCACGTGGTAAAGTAAGCTCAGAATCATCTTTCAGTGTCCGAATGAAAGGCTTAGCAAGTAGCCGTGCAACAGCATAAGATGAGTTTCCACCATCACCAGTATCAGCCATAAAGTCAAACCAAAAATCATCTTTCTCAGTAAAATGATCATATAGAAGGTCACCTTGTTGATTTCGATCACTAACCCTAGTCATTGCTGCCTGTCAATGAAAATGAGACTTATTATATTCTGGAATACAAGCAAAACAATATTCCTGTAACAAGACAGAGGATGAATAGAAGGCAAACTTCTTCACATCATCATAGAATAATGTGTCTTAAAAGTCCCACTTTCCTTGCTGTGTAGTTAGTGAAAATTATTCTGATATTAGGATAGTTGATTAATATGGGTCTGATGCTAGGAAAGTTAGTGATTACCCTTTACTTAGTTCAGCCAAGAGTTTACTGTAACATACAGCCTTCTAATTTTCTCAGTCATTCAGAAATGATATTTTCAGATCTTCTTTCAACTATGCATGATCAACATTCAGATAAGAATTTAAAAAATGCCCTGTATGAAGACTCATTATGATTTTATACATAAAATTAACTACAAAGACAGCTAAAAAATGGTTCAACCGTAGCAAGCTACACAGAAAGTGAAAATCTGCACAAAACAATTTAAATCTAAATCTGGAGACCAGAAATTATACAGTACTCAGAATTTTAAAGGCATTAATGATTTGTGAGTGCACAAATCCACAGTTCAGGCCTTGATTTTGTTTTATTGTTCTTGGAGAAAACAAGACCAGAAACAAGGTCATGGGCAACAATATCGAAAACTACTTTCTACAATCCTATTCACATTGCCCAACATCCAATTTGGATTAACTAAGCCCCTTTAAAAGGTATGCAAATATATGCAGTGACTGTAGTTGTATATTTAATACAACAAAGTGTATACAGTCAGCCAAGTATATCAGGCTATAAATTTAAATGACATGTTGATAGAACATTGTAAATAGTGGGCATAGGAAAATAAAAATATTACCTGCATCATACGCATATCAAAACGCCCAACAAACACAGTTACTGATACCAGCAGGTCAAAAACTGTTTTGAATAAATCAGCAGATGTTCTGCATAATTTAACGAGTGTAACCACACATTCAAAATAACCTTCAGCACCCCCTTGAAATATACTAAAAAGTAACTGGGAAACATAATATAGTTATATATACATACCCCGAGTACCAAGGAACCATGTCCAAAAAATCAGGCTTCATCTGCTTCTTCTTCAGCTTCTCATATTCTTTAACAGATAATGGGTGAGTGAGAGCCCACCTGCATAAAAACAAAGATATTAAAAGAAAATGTTGATACAATGTATTATTAATGTGATGCCCCCCCATAATAACTAATTGTTCATTGTGCGCTGTTATGCCAAGGGCTCATGGCACCATTGCACATTGTTTTATGGAGAGAGATATAGTCCAAAATAATAGAATTGCAAAAATAAAACAACTAATATTCATTACCAAAACAGACTAATAATACATAAGAAAACAAAAACTTTTTTTCCTGAAAATTACATTGCGATGGCTGGAAAAAAAGAAAAAGAACATTGCGAAAAAATTTATTGCAAGAACTGTAGATGCAAATTTTCAAAAATGTTCAACAGCAGTCATTTTCCAAGAATAAAAAATGACATCACATATTGACTTAGAAATTAGAGGATATTTTTTTTCAGTGTCAGTAATTTCCATTAAAATTTAACATCAGAATAGTTTTATACTTTGAAACATTAAAAAAATTACTCACACTATGTGGAGGAAGATAACAAAGTTTAGCACAAAATAAGATCAGGTATAAAGTACCTACTACTCACCCTGTCGACCTCTCCACCACATAATTCGCAATGTAAAGCCCAATAAATGTAGCCCAAAGTGAGTAGATGGGAGAAATCTCATCTGATGAACCAGGACATGATCCATTGCAAGCTATCTAAAACATAAAGATAATGTTGGCATCGTACCATCTAAAGAACCACAATGAAAATAGATATAGATTTATGAGTTAACGCAGCAGACAGTATTAAATACCTCGCCATAAATAACCCACTTTGACAAGAGAGGATAATCACTTGCAGATCCAACTGGAGCAAACCAAGATGAGCAAACCTGGTCTTTCAACTCATTCATGCGAAGAAACTTAGCGAGCCATGTGTTTCTATCCTCTTTCTTCCAGAAAGAAAACCAGTTAGAATTTTTTCGGTCAAGTGGTCTCTCTCTTAACATGGCTCGATTGCCACAATGACTATAAAATACACAGCATGCCACGCTAAGTACCTATTATTTATTAAAGAAAAATAAGCAGCATAAAAACAACATTTCTTATTTTAAGGACAAAATTACAAACAATCATCTTTCAAACTTACTGCACAGTTTTGTAGAATGGTCAAGATCTCCGGTCTCTTTCCAGCCACACGTGAAACAAAGCCAATATACCAGAGGCCAAGAAATATAATGTGAAAGACAAGAAGAAATAAGATCGAAGAGACATATATCGTCAAAAACAATGATAGACTCATCCTCATATCCACCCCCATTGACTGAAAGCTAGGAAGATGATACACAGCTGCCACTAAAATCCAGGCTATGTACCTGCAGAGTGGACACCTAATTATTTCAAATTCCATAAAATCTTTCATAAAGAAATAAATTTGTCAAAGCAACTCACCATCGACTGAAATTTGAATAGCTCGGCTTGAATGTCTTGCCTATAAATGGTGAGGAAAAGAAATAAAAGAACCCAAACAAGCAGGCATACATAGACCACCATTTAATATTGTTGTCTAATTTTTCTACAAGAGTCTGTATATTGTCAGATGAGATGAAAAAGAGACAACCCACAACAACAGCAATTACAGCATGGCGTGAATGCTCGTGAGGGTAAGGATAAGTGTGGGTTAGAATAGTTCTAACTGTCTCCATTTTGAGTGTATCAAGAATGCGAGCAGACTGCTTATTAGAGCCCATTTGAATCAAACAGGACAAAAATCTAATATAATGTATCAAATTTCATGCAATGAAGTTCACTTTAGGAGTTCAAGAAAATTATAGAGAACAGCACCAGCAGAATCCTGCACAAGAAAAGAAAGAGAAAAACAATAATATCAGTATTAATGGCAACAAGGTAACCACATCATTGACACCAAGAGGAACAATAATATCCTAAGCTAAGCTAAGAATGAATTTAATGTTCAATTAAGTAATGGCATAATGGCCAAGCATGGAACACAAAACAACAACAAAAATTTAATGAAAAGAACAAAAACAAGATTTAATAGTCATAATTACCCAGGACTGGCTCAGTAAATCCTAGTTCAAATCAACTGAAATTCTACAATTGTCGTTTTCCTATTTTCATGACTCACGTTCTCCTCCAACACTGACAAATTCCGTCTCACTTCTTTGCTACTCTCATCCTTGCCCTTTATCCTTCCTTCCATTTCCCTTATAATCGAATTCCTTCACACTTTCATATCCAGACATTTTCACATGCGTATGAATAGGGAAATCATCGTCATTATTAAAATAAACAAGTATATGAACTGGAGGAACCGGAAATGTGAGTAATTCAAGAGAATAATGCATGGTTAAGAAAATAAAAATTAGTTCCTATTAAGCAGTTAATTGAACTTCGAAAATTAGTTATATATTAGTTAAACCAATCAAGTTTGGTAAGAAAACGAAGCCCTAATCTTAATTTATCGTCATTTCATTTATTATTACTCTTTCCTTTGGTTTTCGTTTTCCTTATCCTACAAGATTGCGGCAAGATAATCGAAGAAAGCAATATAATCGGAAACAAAATCTTCAAGCTACAAAGATACGACGCGAAGCAGAGGAAAAACAAGAATAGATAACAACCGCAAGAAAAGCAAAACCAAACGCGAAAGAAAGAAAGCGTTGGAACCAAAACGCAGATACAGAGAGACAGCAATCACAAACGACGTTACCGATGTTGAAACGACGAAAATTAAATAGAAGGAGAGAGGGAAGAAGAAGAAGGTACCTGGGATCGCAAGAGAAGGCGGAATGGAAAAAGATCACATGTGAAGTGCGTGCAATATAAGGAATTAGGAAAAGAAAACTTAACAGGGGCATCTCACTCAGACCCACTTGGCATCTGAGAATGTCTGCGAAGAACATAGCAACGGCATATTCTTTTTAAAACCATTTATTACATCTTCACCCCAATCCTCAACCCAAATACGCAACCAAACCCAGTTTCTTCTTTATTTCACACATGCGCCACACCCCTCGTTAATTAATTAATCTTCCTGATTAAGAAATTAATAAATACTTTTTTACTTTTGAAATTTGAAAAATGTTAAGAATCGCAAATAAAAAATGTTATGAACAAAAAAAATATTCATTAAAATATATTTTATTTATAATTCTTTAATCTGTTTAACTAAGTTACGGTATCGCTATTTATTTTCCAATGGCAAATAAGATTCACGTTTCAAATCACGCTTTCAAATCGCATTCAAAGTTTCCGCGGCTTCCTTCCGCGTCATTCTCACAACATGCGTATTGCAATTTCCATCACCGTCCTATTGACTACAAAGACCGCAACTTGCAGGACCGTTATCCTTGGGCCTATTGGACCCCTTCTTCTATCATAAAACCAAGCCAAGGCCCATTTCTTCATAGACTTCTACGACCCCCAAGCCCAGGTCAGTACATGGAATGAACAGAAAAAAAAAAAAAAGGCCGGTGCTGGCATCACAAGTGAAAAAGCAGAAAGGTTAAAAACAGCAAACGCTTTCTACCAAAAATAAAAAACAAAGGTTCAGTTGTACCAAAAAATCTGTGATGTCAACGCACACTTTAAGAATCTAGGGTTCGAGACAGGAGAGTTAGATTTGGTATCTTCGAAATGGTTACTTTGTTTGTACTAGATTTCAGAATCCCTGTGCATGCTTAAATTACTTGTATACCCTCGCTACTTGCCACCCGGGAACTTGTAATTTGTGGGGCTTCTGCCCTTTGCAATATTATAACCAAAAAACGCACATTTGATTCTAAACAATAATGAATCACAAACATTTAACATCAAGTTTAGTATAATTAACTTTCAATTATTTAAAATTAATTTTAACTGTAAAATTTTATTAAAATAGGTATTTTTTATTAAAGATATGACAACTAATTTTCTAACAAAAATCTAATTTATCAACTTTAAAAATCTATGATTATTTTTAGGATAAAATTTTCAATCATTTAAAACTGCATATTTCTTCTCATAAAATAACAATGTCTAGTTTTATATGATTATTATTCTTAATTCATTTGGAAAAACACTAGAAAAAAGAAAATTAACTACATGAAAATAAGTAATACAAAAATTTAGTACGTTTTCAGACTAAGTGAATATTTTACAAAGAAAAACATAAATAATTAAAAATAGAATTATATTTATATTAAATTTTAAGATATACTTTAGATATTCGAATATTAATACAACCTTAAGACAATTTCCTTTATTACCGACTTCGGCACCTTAAAAAAGGATAACGAGTGCAATGGCATAGAATTAAGAACGACATTAATCAAAGTCACCCTACCTTCAATCGATAAATACCTATGCTTCCATGACGCTAACCGCTTTTTAAGAGCCTCTAACACACCCTTCCATGCACTAGGCTTTCTCGGGTTAACACCTAACTGTAACCCGAGATACTTTAATGGGAAACTACCAATCTTACAATGTAGGAACTCCGCAGCCAAGTTTTCAAAGTTATCACCAGTGTTAATCCCCAATACAAAAGATTTATGGAAGTTAATTTTCATACCTGACATTAATTCAAAGCTACGCAATACTGCTTTCAAAGTCCACAAATTCTGCACCGAAGCCTCTCCCATAATCAATGTGTCATCCGCAAACTGCAGCAAAGAAATATCTGGTCCCCCTTCCCCAATCATCACACCAGAGAACAACCCACAAGTCACTGCCTTCCGCATAAGAACTCCTAACCCTTCCGCTACCACAAGAAAAAGAAAAGGGGCAAGAGGATCCCCTGTTTTAGGCCCCGCTCAATATGAACCTCCAATGTAGGACAACCATTAATCAAAGCTGATAGGCTTCCCCCACACATACAAGCTTCCATCCAACTGACCCATTTGTTTGAAAATCCAAAGCTATGTAACATAAACAAAAGATATCCTCACTCTATCGAATCATACGCCTTCTCATAATCAAGCTTTAACACAAAACACCTCTTATTATACCTCCGCACATAATCAACTGCTTCATTAGCCACAAGTACACTATCTAACATGTTCCTTCCCGGGATAAAGGCTGATTGTTCTTCTGAAATTATTGAATCCAAAACTCCTTTCAACCTATTTGCCAAAAGCTTGAAAACAATCTTATAAAGACAACCTAATAATGAGATAGGCCGAAAATCAGATATCTGTTGTGGGCAAGACACTTTTGGAACAAGTGCTACAAAATAAGATAATAAAGACCTAGGTAGCTTTCCATTTCTACAAAATTCAGTAAGCATACCCATCACTTCTTCCTTGATCACTCCCAAAAACCTCTTAAGGAACACAAAATTGAAACCATCAGGCCCCGAACTTTTATCACCCTCACACTCCAAAATCATCTTTCTCACTTCCTCCTCCGAAAAAGCATTAACAAGCTCCTCATTCTGTAGAACAGAGACTCTTGGTAAATTATTAATATCAATAGTAGGTCGAAGCCAACTTCTACTACTAAAATGAACCGCAAAATAGGACACCACACCTGTTTTAATCTCATTAACCTCTTCGACACATCTCTCTCCAATTTGGAGCGCATATATATTATTTCGTCGCCGCCTCCCATTAACACATAAATGAAAGAACTTTGTATTTAAATCACCCTCTTTCCCCCATCTCACCCGAGCTTTTTGGGCTATGAGACTCTCTCTATTCTTCCTAGCCTTCCAAATATCACCCACCAACATTTGTTGACGCTTCTTCTCCACATCGGAAAGTTCTATCACAGAATTTTTATCATCAATCAAACTCAACTCAGTTGTCAAATCAGAGATCACCTTATCAACATTTCCAAATACCTCAATATTCCATTTTTTCAATGCAATCTTAACATTCCTTAACCTCTGGCTAGCTCTCTGGGCAGCCCATGGAAGGGTAATATCTCTTTTCCACGCTTCCTCCACCACCTCCACAACTTCTTTATGAGTCAGCCAACAATTATTAAATCGAAACGGCTTCGGACCTCAGTTAACCACTTTGTGCTTAAGAATAATGGGACAATGATCAGACACATCTCTGCTCAGAACCTGAATAAAACCATCTCCCCAGTAATCAAGCCAGGAACTAGAAACAAGGACTCTATCCAGCCTGCTCATCATAGAAGCATCCCCTTTTATCCATGTAAATTTTTTACTCACAAGTGGAAGATCCACAAGTTCCATTTCCTGAATGAAAGAATTGAAGCCCTCCATTTCAGAGATACCATAGTCTGCCTGACAACCCTTCCTCTCTGTCACTTGTCTCACAGCATTGAAGTCACCCAATATACACCACATAAATTTGCCAAGACCCCTTCTTGTCATGAGCAAATCATCCTATAACTTTCTCTTCTTACTTAGTCTACACGATGCATAGACATTCACCACAACACATAGGTTTTCAGTAGCCAATACCTGCAAGCAAACACCCAGGAATCCAGTACCAGAAAAGGAGAAAAGTATTTTACATTTGGAAGTATCCCAAAGTGAAAGCATACCCCCACTTCTGCCAATGGAAGGCAAGGCACACCAATCAAAATTCACAGAACCCCATAAACGCGTACATAAATTACTATTACATATTTCAAGTTTTGTTTCCTAAATCGCTAAGAACTCCAGACCTTCAGAGCGAACAATCTCACACACCTTCTTTTGCTTTACCGCACTCCCCAGCCCTCTACAATTAAATGAGCCAATCTTCATTTAGTATCAAAGCGAACCCCATATTCTTTCGCAATTGTTCTATCACGTACCTCCATCTCAATCAATTTCTCTTGAACCTGCTCATCATTCCCATGTACCACCAAACCAACCTTTTTGCCAATGTCTAGTAACTTCGATGCCATTACCTCATCATTACAATCTGTAGCAACCATTCGCTCCCCCACCTCCACTGAAGGATTGGAAGGATGCGAGTTGTCGGAGCTCTTGGAAGCATTAGCTGAGATTTCATCAGTTAGCGATACCTGTCCTCTAAGTTGCGATGACATTGACGCTTCTTTATTATGATTCTTAGGGTTTTTTCGAGAAGGTTCTATGAAAACTGCGCTCTTATGTCTCTTCCCTCCTTCATTACCTCGACTACCTTTCACAGAGCGTGCCTTCCAAAGGGATTCACGCACATTGACCCTCTCTTTCTCATTTTTGGATTGAACTGGATCAACTTGCATTGTCCCAATTGTCTTCATATCCCGTGTTTCTGGATTTTTCTAAATCAATGCATCTAATCCAAACGGGTCTGACAAATTCAATCTATCTCTTACTATTTGGACTCCCCTCTCCACATTTTCAGAAGGCTCATTTACAGCATCACAGATAGCCACCGTCGGACCCATAGCATCCACACCACTAGCCCCCAAACCCTCATCCACCAAACACCCTTTTGCTGTAATGGAAGGGTGTTAAGGATGGATCTAAAATTCCCTGGGTGAAATGGAAAACTGTATGTAGACCGCGGAAGAATGGTGGCTTGGGCATTAGGAATGTGCAGTGGTTTAATTGGGCGCTTCTTGGTAAATGGTTGTGGCGAGGTGTTAACTGTTCTAGTTCATTGTGGGTGCGGGTGTTGGAATCTAGATATGGAAGATTAGCTTCTTCTCTTCAACGTTCATCAGTTCACAACAGATGTTCTTTGTGGTGGCGTGATTTGCTGGAGGTTATTCATCAAGGGAATTCATGGGTGGATGAGAAGTTTGATAGAAGTGTGGGTGCAGGTTTACACACTCTTTTTTGGAGAGATAAGTGGGTAGGAGGGGTGCGATTGTGTGAAGCATTTCCGCGATTATTTGCAGTGGCGAGAAATGTTGAATCACGTGTATTGGAGAATGGTTTTCATGATGGCACTAGATGGGTTTGGAATGTTAGTTGGCGAAGAGGACTCTTTCAACATGAGATCTCGAGCTTTAATCTTTTGTTGGAG